CCTGCTCCTGGAGGACCGGGGCCTCTCTGGTCCCTGCTCCTGGAGGACCTGGGCCTCTCTGGTCCCTGCTCCTGGAGGACCGGGGCCTCTCTGGTCCCTGTTCCTGGAGGACCTGGGCCTCTCTGGTCCCTGCTCCTGGAGGACCGGGGCCTCTCTGGTCCCTGCTCCTGGAGGACCGGGGCCTCTCTGGTCCCTGCTCCTGGAGGACCGGGGCCTCTCTAATCCCTGCTCCTGGAGGACCGGGGCCTCTCTGGTCCCTGTTCCTAGAGGACCGGGGCCTCTCTGGTCCCTGCTCCTGGAGGACCGGGGCCTCTCTGGTCCCTGTTCCTAGAGGACCGGGGCCTCTCTGGTCCCTGTTCCTAGAGGACCGGGGCCTCTCTGGTCCCTGCTCCTGGAGGACCGGGGCCTCTCTGGTCCCTGCTCCTGGAGGACCGGGGCCTCTCTGGTCCCTGCTCCTGGAGGACCGGGGCCTCTCTGGTCCCTGCTCCTGGAGGACCTGGGCCTCTCTGGTCCCTGCTCCTGGAGGACCGGGGCCTCTCTGGTCCCTGCTCCTGGAGGACCGGGGCCTCTCTGGTTTCACATGTTTGGATTGAAATGAGGCGGCTGTAACTGGACACCTCCTGGGACTCGCGCCTCAGCTTTCCTCTCACACACTTTCCATCGAAAAGAAACTTTCTGAGGACATTCTGGAGAGAAAAGATCCGGCTCTTCTGGCACAAACACACGCTGAAGGTTGTGTGTTCACACTCGTTACTCTGTCAAGTCATGAACTCACGTGTTTTCTGCCGTTTACAGATAAAGTTTAGCAGATTTCTCCAGTTAAATGACGTTCTTTACAACTGCCTCCTTCACTGACATCGCAGCAGATTCAATATTTATTTGAAAAGTATATTGTAATCTCACACATCGACCACAAAGCAGCGGATGTTTTACTGGTCCTTGTCTTTTCAGAATCTATTGTATATCTGTATCCATATCATTTCTATTTAAAATATTTAAAACAAATATTAAGATTAAAATATAATCACATTCTAAAACATAACACTTGAAATGCCTAATGTCTGTAGTTTGCTAAATCTCTAAATTATAATCATAATATTCATGCTTCATTGAAGACGTCTTCTGTGACAGACACATTTGCAGCATTGAGCCAAAGTCTGACATTTGTCACTTTAAGTGAACTCCAACAGTTTACAGCAGTGTTTCCCAAAGTGGGGTCCAGCCTCCGCCGCAGGAGCCAAGATGGAAACACAACATGTAAGAGTTTAGACAACTCTGTAAATGTGTGATTTATGACACAATCACAGCTTTGGCTCCTACTACTGCTGCTACTACTACTACTACTACTACTACTACTACTACTACTGCTGCTACTACTACTACTACTACTACTACTACTGCTGCTGCTACTACTGCTACTTCTACTGCTACTACTACTGCTTCTGCTACTGCTACTGCTACTACTACTTCTACTGCTACTGCTACTACTACTACTATCAGAATCAGAATCAGAATCATTTTTATTGCCACGTAAGTAACAGAAGGTCACAGACTTGGAAATTGCTTTGGCTCAGTGCAACAGTCAAAAAGAGATAATAAAAATAAGAATAAAAAACACTTCTAAAGAATTAATTTAAATTTAAAATAGAGTTACAGTTACTATTTACTATATACAAGTGCACATGGTGCACACAATGTAAGGTGACAGCAGTACAGTGAAGTAAAGTGACGTATGATGGGCAGTAAAGTGACTTTATAAAGGGCGGGGGGACAGGTTAAGAAGTGTTCAAGAGTCCAACAGCAGAGGGGAAGAAACTGTGCTTGTGGCGGGAGGTTCTAGTCCTGATGGACCGCAGCCTCCTGCCTGAGGGGAGTGGTTGGAATAGTCCATGTGCAGGGTGAGAGGGGTCGGCTGTGATACGACCAGCCCGGCCTCGAGCTCGGGCGACGTACAGGTCCTGCAGCGATGGAAGGCTGCGGCCGATCACTTCCTCTGCAGAGCGCACAATGCGCTGTAGTCTCTGTTTGTCCCTGACTGTGGCTCCAACGAACCACACGGTGATGGAGGAGGTGATGGAGGAGGTGATGGAGGAGGTGAGGATGGACTCGATGATGGCCGTGTAGAACTGCACCAACATCTGTGCAGGCAGCTTGGCTTTCCTGAGCTGCCGCAGGAAGTACATCCTCTGCTGGGCCTTCTTGATGAGGGAGCTGATGGTCGGCTCCCACCTGAGGTCCTGGGTGATGGTGGTGCCCAGGAAACGGAAGGACTCCACAGAGGTGATGGGGGAGTCCATCACGGAGGGTGGGGGTGGGAGGACTGTGCTCTTCCTGAAGTCCACAATCATCTCCACTGTCTTCTGGGCGTTCAGCTCCAGGTTGTTACCAGGACACCAGGTGGTAACAACCACCACTACTACTACTGCTACTATTGCTACTACTGCTACTACTACTACTACTACTACTACTACTGCTGCAGCTACTACTGCTACTACTACTGCTACTACTGCTACTACTGCTACTACTACTACTACTACTGCTGCTGCTACTACTGCTATTACTGCTACTACTACTGCTACTACTGCTACTACTGCTACTACTACTACTACTACTGCTGCTGCTATTACTGCTACTACTACTGCTATTACTACTGCTACTACTGCTACTACTACTGCAACTACTGCTACTACTGCTACTACTACTACTGCTGCTACTACTGCTACTACTACTATTACTACTACTACTGCTGCTGCTACTACTGCTATTACTGCTACTACTACTACTACTACTGCTACTACTACTGCTACTACTGCTACTACCACTACTACTACTGCTACTACTGCTACTACTGCTACTACTACTACTACTACTGCTGCTGCTACTACTGCTACTTCTGCTACTACTACTACTACTACTGCTACTACTGCTACTACTACTGCTACTACTGCTACTACTACTACTACTGCTACTACTACTACTACTGCTGCTGCTGCTGCTACTACTACTACTACTACTGCTGCTGCTGCTACTACTGCTACTACTACTACTACTACTACTACTACTGCTACTACTGCTACTGCTGCTACTACTGCTACTACTACTGCTACTATTGCTACTACTGCTACTACTACTACTACTGCTGCTGCTGCTACTACTGCTACTACTACTGCTACTACTACTGCTGCTACTACTGCTACTACTACTACTACTACTGCTACTACTGCTACTTCTGCTACTACTACTACTACTACTGCTGCTGCTGCTGCTACTACTGCTACTACTGCTACTACTACTACTACTGCTACTACTACTACTACTACTACTGCTACTACTACTACTACTGCTACTACTACTACTACAACTAGTTATATTAACATTTTATAAATAAATGTCCTTTGACTGTTCCTTTTCTTTCTGCCGTTCAATGAAATGCGCTGCAACACTGACATTTTCCTACTTCTACATCCATCTTCGAGCATCAACCCTGTAACTACTACTACGATATGGAAAAACTATCCTTCTGCTTCTTCTCCAAATACTACAACCCCTCTCACACAAAATCCACATTTCCTGTCCCGCGGAGGAGGATACATTTCTGCTATAAAAAACCCTGTGTCGTTTTAGATTTTCAGGCCGGGTTTGAAGGATCCTGGAGTATCCCGTTACACACCGCAGTCGGACGTCTCAAATAGCCCGGTCCGAACCCAAACAAAAGCCTAGATCCAAGCAGCCAACCGCACATCTGCGCAAGACTTACTGTGCAAAAAAATAACTATTTAAAGGAGACATATTACCTCATCAGAAACAGACCTGGCCGTGTTTTTAACTCCACACTAATATCAGGGACTTCTGGCACAATCACTTCCCGCGCTTCATCTTCCATCTTGTTACACTATACGGTACGGCACACTTTTCATTTATCCCCCTAGGGCAATTTGTCCTCTACGTATGACCCATCCTGCACTGGCACTGGGGCCTCTGTCAGGAGAAGTGTCGCCCGAGTACAGCATCTCCAGATGTTGATGCTTGTCTTGGTCAGAACCATAGCTGAGGATTATTACCAAGTGTACATATTTTTAGTGGTAACAAAAATCCAGGAGCACCTGGAGGAAACCGGAGCACCTGGAGGAACCCAGACATGGAAAACATGGAAAACTCCACTCAGAAAGACCCTATTCCGACCGGGATTTGAACCAATTATCACCCTCCTGAGAAGCGAGAGTGCTAACCATCTTTCCGCCGTGCTGCCCACACTATGACACATCCTCAGACTAAAGACTCATTCACATTGAGCAAAAACACAGGTTTTTCATCGAACAAACACAAGCCTCCTCTTCATCACGCTAAGCGACACAGGCTGGTGTGTCAGAACTACTCGGCATCTAACCCGCCTTTGTGTTTTTGTCGAGGCATGTTCAGTGTGAACACCCCGAGCAAATATAGCAATCAATAAAAGCAAACTGTGTATTACACACACCAAGGAGGATACCTATATTTACTGCATAACGACAGTGTTTGGGAGAGAGAAGCTCTTTACCATCAAAGTTTGGGCTGTCTGAACTTCAGTACAGACACGCCCCCCTCCCCTTCTGTGTAAATGCTCCTGTCTCAAACATGGTGAATGACCCGGCCATTTATGATCTTTACAACCAAAGTACTGAGTCTATTCGCATAATATGTAAATACATGTGTGTGTGTTTGTGTGTCGTACCGATGTACATAGTGTCATGATCATGGCCAAAAATAATGCATCACAGTTATTCTTTAACAGTTGCCAATGGAACAAGTAACCATGAGACAAGTACAAAATCCCAGAGAGCTTGAATATACAGTTATTAGTTTTGTTTTGTGTCCCATTGGTGAATCTAGTTCAAAAACAGTCAAATCGAGGTAAAGAAAAAACGAATTAACAGTTATACATCAATACATGTGATATTTTTTGCAGTGTAACTTTTCCAAACGACTGGGAAAAGTAAGAGTAAAGCGTAAGCCTTGCGTACCTTCATCTCATGGTTGAGCTCTCGTTTCACCGGGTGCGCTGGCTTCCTACTGCGCTTATTCTCCGCGGGTCTGCCCTTCTCCATCTCGGGCATAGTCCAGGCGGAGGAGCGAAGGCTGCGCGGCGGATCCAAGCCTCGCCGTCCCTGGTGGGGGGAGCCGCAGTGGTCGTAGCAGTAGTTTTGGTAATAGTGAAAGAAGCAGTATTTGGCCTGTTCGAAGGAGAATCAAAGTGGTTGCTGTCATGTCCCCGCTCCCCGCGCTCTGTTGGGGGGCATGGCACCGGAGGACGGGCTGCTGTGGCTGGGTCCCGGGGAGGTGCGCTTGTGCCTAAAGTCCGTGCGCTCCTGGGATCTCGCCCTGATCCATGCGCGCTCTGGGAGGAGTTCCGCTCACGCCCTTCAAAGTACAAGCCCTTTTTAGACCATATTTGTCATTTGTCATGTCATGTTTTCGAATGGGAAATCAATTATAAAGTGCAATAGTATTGGCTTAATGGATAAACACGTCGTTTGTAAAGGATTGGTAATGGAGCTGCGAAGAGGGCGGGGCTTTCAGGTTCCAGAAGTAACATTCCTCACAAGTTTTAAAAACAAACATAATACTTAATGTAGTTCTTGTGTTCATTACTCACCATTGACTTTTTTATTATCAGCCTAGTGGAGACATCCCGCGGGGAATTTTACTTTTGCACTCAGTTTGCAGCCCCAAATTATAAACTACCTTCCTCAGGTTTGGCCACCACTTCACTGGAGAAATCCCCAAAACTGATGTGAAAGCGACACAACAACAGTTTTGAACATGATGTAATATTGTAAGGATTCATTATAGTGCAACAGGTTTGAGACCGAAGTGTAAAAATGCTCCGGGCTCCGTCTGTCCCTGTGTCCCCCTGTCTGTCCCTGTGTTCCCCTGTCTGTTCCTGTGTTCCCCTGTCTGTCCCTGTGTCCCCCTGTCTGTCCCTGTGTTCTCCTGTCTGTCCCTGTGTTCTCCTATCTGTCCCTGTGTCCCCCTGTCTGTCCCTGTGTTCTCCTGTCTGTCCCTGTGTCCCCCTGTCTGTCCCTGTGTTCTCCTGTCTGTCCCTGTGTCCCCCTGTCTGTCCCTGTGTTCTCCTGCCTGTCCCTGTGTTCTCATATCTCTCCCTGTGTTCCCCTGTCTTTCCCTGTGTTCTCATATCTGTCCCTGTGTTCTCCTGTTTGTACCTGTGTTCTCCTGTCTGTCCCTGTGTTCTCCGGTCTGTCCTTGTGTTCTCCTGTCTGTCCCTGTGTTCTCCTGTCTGTCCCTGTGTTCTCCTGTTTGTACCTGTGTTCTCCTGTCTGTCCCTGTGTTCTCCTGTCTGTCCCTGTGTTCTCCTGTTATCCCTGTGTTCTCCTGTCTGTCACTGTGTTCTCCTGTCTGTCCCTGTGTCCCCCTGTTTGTCCCTGTGTTCTCCTGTCTGTCCCTGTGTTCTCCTATCTGTCCCTGTGTCCCCCTGTCTGTCCCTGTGTTCTCCTGTCTGTCCCTGTGTCCCCCTGTCTGTCCCTGTGTTCTCCTGTCTACCCTGTGTTCTCATATCTGTCCCTGTGTTCTCCTGTTTGTACCTGTGTCCCCCTGTCTGTCCCTGTGTCCCCCTGTCTGTCCCTGTGTCCCCCTGTCTGTCCCTGTGTTCTCCTGTCTGTCCCTGTGTTCTCCTGTCTGTCCCTATGTTCTCCGGTCTGTCCCTGTGTTCTTCTGTCTGTCCCTGTGTTCTCCTGTCTGTCCCTGTGTTCTCCTGTCTGTCCCTGTGTTCTCCGGTCTGTCCCTCTGTTCTCCTGTCTGTCCCTGTGTTCTCCTGTCTGTCCCTGTGTTCTCCGGTCTGTCCCTCTGTTCTCCTGTCTGTCCCTCTGTTCTCCTGTCTGTCCCTGTGTTCTCCGGTCTGTCCCTCTGTTCTCCTGTCTGTCCCTGTGTTCTCCTGTCTGTCCCTGTGTCCCCCTGTCTGTCCCTGTGTTCTCCGGTCTGTCCCTCTGTTCTCCTGTCTGTCCCTGTGTTCTCCTGTCTGTCACTGTGTTCTCCGGTCTGTCCCTCTGTTCTCCTGTCTGTCCCTGTGTCCCCCTGTTTGTCCCTGTGCTCCCCTGTCTGTCCCTCTGCTCCCCTGTCTGTCCCTGTGCTGCCCTGTCTGTCCCTGTGCTCCCCTGTCTGTCCCTGTGCTCCCCCTGCCTCTGTCCACAGCCGCCATGGGAGAGTGGGGGTTCCTGTCTTCGCTGCTGGATAAGGTGCAGTCTCACTCCACGGTCGTGGGTAAAGTGTGGCTCAGTGTTCTCTTCATCTTCAGGATCATGATCCTCGGAGCCGGAGCAGAGAAGGTCAGAGTTTGTCCAATTAGAAGAAAACCTCACTTCTACTCACACAGCACCATCTAGTGGTGACAGTCACACTCAACAAGTGGTTCTCAAACTGAACCAATGAATTGTATATTATATTTGTTTCAATGATTGCATTGATGAGCTAAAGTCAGAGGTTTGTTCTCATGATGCAACAGATAGAGATTTTATACTTGTTTCTTTTTTCATGCTAGAGATTTTTATTTTATTCTATTTGGTGTAGAGTTATTGTGGTCTGTTAATAAGCTGTGCAGATGTGTCTTTATTTTACATATTGTTAACCTTTTTTAATCTAGCTCACTAGTTCAGGCTACTGGAATGTGGAGCCTGAACTGGGGGGGGGCTGGTGGATTGGGTGCACCTCTGAACGCCACCCCAAGAATCAGAAATGGATTAAGGCGAAGAACATGGATGGATGGATGTTAGTACCAAACCACAGGTGTAACCCCCACCACGCCACATCCCCTCTGGGTGTGTCCCACTGGCTCCTGGCCCCACACTCTGCAGGTTTGAAGCTGTATAATTGTAAATATAAAGCTTAATGTAAATGCTGTGATGAAGTTGTTTTGTTTCTGTTTCCAGTGTGGACTGATCCGGTCTATTCCAGATTGGATGTGGGTCTTTGGATCAAGGCTGTTCCTCAGTTAATCAAGAAGAAGACAGTATTATTAACTTGCACTCTATTCATACTTGTATTTGTATGTATGTATTAGAACTGCCGGCTTTCCCGTTCTCTTTAGCAATATAAAATGCATTGATAATAAATCCATTAATATTAATACATATACATTGATTAAAAGTCACTACGTTTAATGAATTTTTGTATATAATAAATCCAACTTATGGTAATGCTTTTGATTCTATTGGTTGGAAATCAGTTCAAACCCAGTGTCCTCAGTAACGAAGCTGTTTCCCTTTGCACAACTTCTACAACTGTTTATCTGGTGTTTTCCAGCAGGGATATCAAAGGTTGAGTTGGAGTAAATGTTGAAGGCCACTGTGTCTCTGTTGCTCCTTTAAACTTTAGAGCAGTGTAAATGATTGACGTGTGCTGCAGACTGACCCCGGTCTCTCTGCAGCAATATAGATGTAGTCACAAATCAATAATAAGGTGATCAGAGTTATTTTTATTGCCGTTGGGAGTAACAGGAAGTGACGCTCTCGGTGAAAACAAGTTACAATAGTCACAATAGAATAAGGCTAAAAACTAAGAAATCAAAATGACTGAGTTCACACAATGGATATTTATTATGGATTGTTGCATCGTTGATACATGACATGAAAGAATGAATGGATTCACTTCAAAAAGAAAACAAAAGCGCCACAGACTTTACTTTTGAAACCCTCAGTCATTTATTTAATTGCTCTTTAGTGAGTGAGCCGCCTCAGTGCTGGGTCTACAGCCTCAGTCCTGGGTCTACAGCCTCAGTCCTGGGTCTACAGCCTCAGTCCTGGATCTACAGCCTCAGTCCTGGGTCTACAGCCTCAGTCCTGGATCTACAGCCTCAGTCCTGGATCTACAACCTCAGTCCTGGATCTACAGCCTCAGTCCTGGATCTACAACCTCAGTCCTGGATCTACAGCGGCACGGTGGCTTAGTGGATAGCACTCTCGCCTCTCAGCAAGAAGGTCCTGGGTTCGAATCCCGGTTGGACCAGGGTCTTTCTGAGTGGAGTTTGCATGTTCTCTCCGTGTCTGCGTAGGTTTCGTCCGGGTACTCCGGTTTCCCCTACCACTAAAAATATGTACAATAGGTCTGGCATGTGCCTCCTGTTCTGGCGACCCTGCTCCCAAAAAAATAACAATTGTAAACCGCTTTGAGACTCTGATGTGCAGTGAAAAGGTGGTATAAATAAAGATTACATTACATTACAGCCTCAGTCCTGGGTGTACAGCCTCAGTCCTGGATCTACAGCCTCAGTCATGGATCTACAGCCTCAGTCCTGGATCTACAGCCTCAGTCCTGGATCTACAGCCTCAGTCCTGGATCTACAGCCTCAGTCCTGGGTCTACAGCCTCAGTCATGGATCTACAGCCTCAGTCCTGGATCTACAGCCTCAGTCCTGGATCTGCGGCCTCAGTCATGGGTCTACAACCTCAGTCCTGGATCTACAGTCTCAGTCCTGGATCTACAGCCTCAGTCCTGGATCTACAGCCTCAGTCCTGGATCTACAACCTCATTCATGGATCTACAGCCTCAGTCATGGATCTACAGTCTCAGTCCTGGATCTACAGCCTCAGTCCTGGATCTACAGCCTCAGTCCTGGATCTACAACCTCATTCATGGATCTACAGCCTCAGTCCTGGATCTACAGCCTCAGTCCTGGATCTGCGGCCTCAGTCATGGGTCTACAGCCTCAGTCCTGCACCGCACAGCCTCAGTCCTGGATCTACAGCCTCAGTCCTGTAACTACGGCCTCAGTCCTGGATCTGCGGCCTCAGTCCTGGATCTACAGCCTCAGTCCTGTAACTACGGCCTCAGTCCTGGATCTACAGCCTCAGTCCATGGATCTACAGCCTGAGTCCTGGGTCTACAGCCTCAGTCCTGGATCTACAGACACAGTACTGGATCTACAGCCTCAGTCCTGGATCTACAGCCTCAGTCCTGGGTCTACAGCCTTAGTCCTGGATCTACAGCCTCAGTCCTGGACCACCACCAACCATTCACACACACCAGACTCATTCTAGGCAATGGGGGTGAAGTGTCTTGCCTTAGGACACAACGACAGCAGACAGTGGGAGTCGATGGTGAAAGTCGGGCTCAAACCCACGACCCTCTGGCTCTAAGGCCAATGCTCTACCAACTGAGCTACTGTCGCCCTAATAATGATGAAAAAATGCACCAGAGATAATCAACAACTCATTGACTGCCATTGACGTGTTAACACGTCAAACTAAATAGTAACGTTGTCTGCCAATGACGTGTTAACACGTCAATTGCGTTTCCCGCTATTTTTACGTTCCCAGCTGTCCATTGAATCTAATATGTGGAGATTGGCTTGAGGCAATACTTTATGGAGCCAGCAGATGGCAGCATTGCGCTATGAATGGTTTGAACACAGCTAGATGCACTGTTTGTGGCCCTTTTTTCTCAGCTTTCTGGTGATTTCAATAAAACTTCCCTCTACTCAACTGGGGATTACAGAAGAACTAAACAAGATAGAAACAAAATTCTTTTTGCTGGTGAGAGTAGACAGCCCATTCTTTCAGAATCTAGTTTTAGATTTCAGATAGTCAAAGTACACAATATTCTGTGGGTCTTGAAAAATCAGTAAAAACCACCAGAAACGGCTGGCAATATGGGAGTACCTGTTTTGAAATGGGCTGGCAGTCAAACAAAACAATAACAAATCATTGACAACCAATTATAATGTTTTACTCAAACCTGGATTCAACTTTGATTGTTTGGTTTGAATAACAAGTGTAGACACATTTTCCTCCATGAGTATTATTCCTCTGGACATTTGAGCTCAATAAGATGAGAGCAGATATACTTTATTGAATTCTATTTTATTTATTTTATTTATTTTATTTATTTTATTTATTTTATTTATTTTATTTATTTTATTTATTTTATTTATTTATGTATATAGTTAATTGCTTTATTTTAATTGTTCTTTACTTTATTTTTTATTATTTTTATTTAAAGCTGGCAGACTGTTACTTTTATCTCAGCAGCACTTTGGAAACGTGTTTTATAAAATGTGCTATATAAAGTGAATTGGATTGATCTCACAACAGAGAAATGCCCATGTCACATACAGTATGACATCACTCACACACAAAACGACAGGGTTAAGTGTGCAAACATGTTAAAATAGTGTCTCTTTTGTGCAAGATATATTTCGCACAATATATTGCAAAGTGACTGTCGCAGTGAGAGTTTGGGGCAGAGAGTTTTCCTCCAAACCCAGAGAGAAGAGCAGGTCTGTGCCGTGTCCTTCAGCAGACGTGACGTACAGAAACAAAAGCAGTGTCTGTGTTTGCTGAGACACTCTCTGTTCTTCTCTCGCCGCGGGGCACTTTCATCGGTGAGTGAATCCATCCAGTTATTTTCATTTTCATTCATGTATTTAATGTTTTACTACTTTTCCGGGATGATAAAAGCAGAGAGCTACTCCTTTAAAGTGGCCCTGGGGAAAAATGTGATGATATATTGGTGTCAACAAGGAAAATATTGGGTACAGTATTTACAATTAATAATAATAATAATGAATAATACAATCTGAAATATTAGAGTTTTATTTGATTTGTGGATCAAAATATGCTAAATGATTTGAATGTCGTTTTTCTTTGGTTTTAATGTACAGTAGGGTGCAATTTTATCCATGATTTTTTATTTAAGAGTGGGTTAATGTAGATATTGTAATCGGTGAATGTAGAAATTGTAAAAATATAAATGTGTATCTTGCCGGTCCCATCGAGAAAATTACTGCACAAGAGTCCTGAGACATATTATAGTGGTAAAAAGATTTTTTTTAAAGGGAAAAAAATATTTTAACAATATATATTTATATAGATAGATAGATAGATATAGATCAAATAGACTCAATTTTACGTCCCTTTTCATTTAATATTAAGGCTGTAGTGTGGTATTTTGGAGCACACTGACTTTCACTCAATTCTGATTAAGTAAATGTCACCGCGGCACGGTGGCTGAGTGGATAGCACTCTCGCCTCTCAGCAAGAAGGTCCTGGGTTCGAATCCCGGTCGGACCAGGGCCTTTCTGAGTGGAGTTTGCATGTTCTCCCCGTGTCTGCGTAGGTTTCCTCCGGGTACTCCGGTTTCCCCTACCACTAAAAATATGTCCAATAGTTCTAGCATGTGCCTCCTGTACTGGCGACCCCGCTCCCATCTCTGTGTGGAGTGACAGACAAATGCCCAAAAATTAACAATTGTAAACCGCTTTGAGACTCAGATCTGCAGTGAAAAGGCGGTATATAAATAAAAACTTACTTACTAACTTACTTACTTGTATATTGATAAAATAGTCTTTGCTTTTGTGCATCAAGCTCTGAAAATCTAAAGCCAAATTCATACAAAGAGCACATTTTTCAACAGGAGCTTTAAATCCAAGGTTAAGGCTCTGGTTTAGCTGTAGATAAATTCATGTTTTGGAAACTTGAAATCAGCAGCTGTACCTTCCTCTATCAGCAAAACTGCAACTAAGCAGAAAAGGTCCGTGTTGGCCTTGTGTCCTCAGTGTGCAGGCCTGATATGTGCGTGTACTTTTACCCAGAGGGAAAATAAAATATATTCAGTGTGTATATATATAAATGTTTCTCATGGAGCTTGAGAAAAGGTCATCTCACTATTTAGTCTGTGTGTATGAAGTAGAAGTCAAACTGAAATGAAATAATCCGTATGTGTCAACCTTATCATGACACATATAGTGAGATCTTCATGTGTGTGTGTGTGTGTGTTTTTTTAGAAATAGGGCGACCATTACCGAAACATGGGGGACTGGCATCTGTTGGGCCGACTGCTGGACAAAGTTCAGAGTCACTCCACGATCATCGGAAAAGTTTGGCTCACTGTGCTGTTTGTGTTTCGCATCCTGGTCCTCAACACGGCAACAGAAAGGGTACGGCACAATCACAGCCTTCACATCCATCCGTCCAACGATAACAATAATGCATCGGTTTTATACAGCGCTGCAGGGTCATTATGCATCCAAGATTCAAGATTTATTTATTATGTACTGGAGGAAATCTGTCGTGGACTCACAGGCTGCTGCGTCGAAAATAAACATAAAACACAACTCACTCCATAGCTGTTATCAGTGTGAACAGAGCACTTTAATGATTTGCACTTGTTTTGAAACTGTTTTAGTCGATCGATTTCACAGTGACATTTGTTTACTGTTTTATTTGTTTTATTTCTGTCTTTTAATGTTGTTTTATGTCTGTATTTGTCTGTGCACACTGGAGACTTTTTGCTAATGTATTCCAATGTGTTTTTTTTTACTGCAAATGGCAAATAAACTGAATCTGAATCTGAATCTGATACACAGTGGTGATAATGTACTATTGTAGCCACAGCTGCCCTGGGGCGCACTGACCGAAGCGAGGCAACCAGTATGTGCCATTGGCCGCTCCGATCACCACCAACCACCATCCATCCATCTACTGTATCTATCTATCTAACTATTTATCTATCTATCTAACTATTTTAAACATGTTTGTAAAGGTTCCGTTCAGGAAGGAGTCAAAGAAGCAATATCTGACAGAAAAAAGTGAAGTGTCCAATGTGGTTTTTGCAGATCACTGTGATAGAGCGATTAGATTCACAAACCCCCAATATTACTGTATTCTCATGTCTAAAAGTCCTTTTTTTTCTTCTGGCCATCATTGTGCTTGTGCATCCATCCATCTTCTTCCCCTTAATCCATTTCTGGCTCGGGGGGGTGGCAGTCAGAGCTGCACCCAGTTGTCAGAGCACCATCCCCTCACTGATCCTCCTGCGGGTGGTGAGTCCACAGGAGCCTTGTTCTTTCAGTGGGGGCTTCAGGCAAAGTGGGGTTAAGTGTCTTGCCCAAGGACTCAACGACAGCAGTCCTCAGTGGGAGTCATGAAGTAGGTCTCAAGGTGGGCTCGAACCCACAACCTCCAGGCCCAAAGGCAAATGCTCAACCAACTGAGCCACTCTCGTCATTGTGCTTGTGTTTGTGTGACCACTTCCAGACAAAATAATGAGACCAAGAAGACTGTTTTTACTTCATGTGGGTTTCTTCTGCCCTGCACCACAGTGAATCTATACAGTCTCTGTGGGATGTGGTGATGTCACATGAACTACTGCTTGTTTTTGGTGCAGGTTTGGGGCGACGAGCAGTCAGACTTCACCTGCAACACGGAGCAGCCCGGGTGTGAGAACGTGTGCTACGACGATGCCTTCCCCATCTCCCACGTCCGACTGTGGGTGCTCCAGATCGTCGCCGTGGCAACGCCCAAACTGCTTTACCTCGGCTATGTTCTCCATGTCATTCACGCTGAGAAAAAGGTAAAAGATACAAGTTCATCAAATGCATCCAGTTTAAAGTTGGGGTTTTTGCTTCGACTGCTGCTACTTTTACAAACATGTTATTGTCACATTACATTGGGTAATAACTCACTTTATACTGAACATGTTAGAGGTGAGCTGCCCTGGGGCAATCTGCGCCTTAAGCTCCCAGTTTCTATTGTGACTATTAGTATTACCACTACTACATTTTATACAACATTTAAAGATAAAATGTGTTCTAATATAACTGATCTGTTCTCAAACAACAGATAGCTTACATGTCAACGTTTTTTTTTTTTTTTTATGAATTGTTATAGTGCCCACCAATGCAAAATGGTATTCTGCCAAAATATCTAGTGGGCCTGGCTTTTTAGGTTCTTCTAATAAGACAATTAAAGCAAAAAAAGCTAGTACTGCTTAAATTCATCAGAGGTCCTCTGATAAAGGCGGAAGTGTACTGCCAAAACATGTGCAGTACTAGCTTTTTTTGCTTTAATTGTCTTATTAGAAGAACCTAAAAATCCGTAAACATAAGAGGACAGAATGAATTTTCCACATTTATCTAGTGGGCCTGATGACCTCCAATCAATCATGCACACACTTGGTGAAGTGTCTTGCCTAAGACACAACAACAGTCTAGCACAGTCCCACTGTGTTGCCCGGTGTTCCCAGAGTCTGACAGGATCAGGCTTCAGCAGGTGACACAACGGCACAGCTACTGTGACTGTGTTTGCAGCAATCTGTCTGGGGTCAGAGCGCCAACTAATGAAAATTGTAATTTTGGCCACTGTATTGGTCAATCTGTTGGTAGTTTGTCCAACTAATGTGTTATGATAGTATACATTTCAATACTTTAGGTGGAACCTGGCAGAACTCTACCAGAAATGTACATAAATGTATTTATGTAAATGTACTTTACAGTTTGAAAATCAGCTCAAACTTTGTCCACATGAATAATTGCATTTGTCCTAATTTGGGCCATTTCTTTGCTTTTCCTCCCGATCTGAACATAAACAGAGTATGGAAAAGCAGATTGGGTTTGACGAGCGGACCTACAAGCTCCCAAAGTACACCAAGAGCAGTGGAAAGATCAGCATCCACGGGCGGCTCCTGAGCAGCTACATCCTCCACCTCATCGCTAGCATCGTTCTGGAGGCCCTCTTCATCTGGGGCCAGTACTACCTCTACGGCCTGACTCTGGACACTCGCTACATCTGCCACCGCTTCCCCTGCCCGCACAAAGTGGACTGCTTCCTGTCTCGCCCCACCGAGAAATCCATCTTCATCTGGTTCATGCTGGTGGCCGCCATCATCTCTCTTCTGTTGTGTCTGATCGAGTTTTTCTACATGTGTTTTAAAGTAGTGAAGGAGTGCGTGTCCCGGAGGCAAGACTACACCGTGACCCCCGTGACTCCGCCTCTGAAGGCCTACAAAAGCCACGACGAGATGATCCAAAACTGTGTCAACCTGGACTTGGAAACACAGGCCAGGACCACATCGGGAGGGGCTATGAATGAAGGGGCCAGGAATGCTGAGAATATCAAAACAGGGCAGATTTTTATCTAAAGCAGTCGTCTACAAGGATCAAGCAGTGGTATATCTGTTGTGTTTCCATATTAATTATTAAAAAGTCACATTTGTGTCCAAGGTTTTAGCACTGATGCAAATAATATCAACTTTTTTGTATTTAGATATTCAAAGCTTGGAGCCAATGAGATTCAGGTTGTGGTGGGTAGAGGGGGGAGTAGCCAGCTGCAGTAAACAGACCCAGTCCCATGTGAGTGCTGCAGTGACTGTGCAAGACAACACATGGTCACTTGTTTTCATTATATTTTAAATCAGCTGTATTCTGCATTAATTATATATGTGTTGGTGAAATGATTAACGGAAGTCGATTACTCCTTTTTCAATCGTACAGTGGTAAAAAATCTATGCAATTTTTTCTCAACCTCAACTATCAATCTGTGCATTTAAATCAACAATAAATAAATGACAAAAATAAAACAAATGGTTAAACAAGTTAGAGTGGAGTTTGTAATGTTTGTCTACTGCCTTGATTTTTGCATTTTGAGGATTTTTTATCTATGCAAACGCAAGATTTTTTTTTTCCAAATAAAAGTATTAGACAAATTAACAAAGTCAGACAATGACAAAGTGAAAGACAAAATTATAAATGATGTAATTTTTTGGGTCTTTTCCGTCATCTGACCACAGCACCTGCAATGTGCCCCTGCTTTGCTTCTTGCGGCTTTTCAACACATTTCTATTCACCACATCTGATTTGAGTGGTGTATGACCAATATTTGTGCCCTGAACAAATTGAGGTGTGGATGTCTACAGATTAACCATGGGCCTCTTGTCTGCATCCGTTCTTTCTTTATCCGCCTTTTGAGTGCAGTTAAACGGCTGTGTCTTGGTAGGTTTGCAGTTGTGCCACACTCTTTCCAACCCCAGATGACGAATTTAACAGTGCTAGCCTCACAAATTAGCATTAATCACACTGAGATTAGATTAGTTTCAGGTGGACTCCCGTTATGTCGACATATGACCATTCATTAGTCATCATGAAGCATCTAAAGACGATCAGTTGTAAGCAGAGACACTGGGGATGAATAATTTTGCACTTCTCAAAAATCAGGAATCATTTTACTTTCACAAATATTAAATTTAAAACCGTTTTCAAGGAAGGTGTGTTTATACTTGCACCATAACTACACCATTCTCTGCTCAGATTCAGATTCAGATTCAGATTCATTTATTTGCCATTTGCAGTAAAACCACATTGGAGAAACTGTGCAAGACCACCCCAGTGTGCACCAGACAGAGAAGACGGCACACACCAGAGCTCCTGCCACGGCGCCATCTTTACGGCGCCATGTTGTTTTTAACTTTGAATCTAAACTGTCTTTAACCTTGGGTATCTAGAAATAAAACTTATTATTATTATTATTATGAACTTGCTTCCTTATTATGCTAAAGCTAGAGATTTTATACATGTTTTTTTAATGCTAAAGTTAGAGGTTTTATTTTATTTTATTATATTTAGTATAGAGAAATTGCTTATTTTTCTTGTGTTGTGTGTTCTTCATTCCTACTATTCTGCAACCGGTGATGCAACACTGACATTTCCTCACAGTGGGACAAATAGAGGATCTCTTCATCTTAATAATCAGAGCAACAAAACTACTTAAACCAACTTCAGCCTGAGCAGCAGTTTTTTTTGTAAAGGTATGTTGTTTTTGTAAGTTTCGTCGTGTCTAAAGATCCACCTTTTGCTACGTGAGCATCCGCCTGTCAATCATTACACCTGCTAGTTTTGGCCGTGTCTTCCTCTACCAACGTGACCCTGGGGCAGATGTGGCGTTGTGCAATTTTCCACAGCAGAACTCAAAGGTCCTCTGCAGTTAGCCATCCGTCCTCACACACACACTCCCAGACCGATCTCCAAGTCCTCCACAGATCCTCAGGTAAGACGCCAGCTCTTCTCATCCTCACTACATACTCTTGTTACTGTTAGTGTGACTATATACTGCATTCATGTCAGTTTAAACATCTGTTATTTACTCAGCTGTTGAAGTTTGACACCCAGAAAAGTGCTCGGTATGACTACAATACACTAAAAAAAATTGTGACTTGGAGCATAAGAATGTAATTGGTAGATTATCATTTGAGGAACTAACATTTGAACGTGAATAGGTATTACTTTAGCTACTCTAGCGTGTGATTTAGAATAAACTGAGGGGATAGGGATGAGTTCAAGCCACTTATGTGACTAAAATGTGTGCAAAAGTCAACTTTTTAATGAGATAACATATTTTTTAAGCCATAAGAGATTCTTTATTTGACCCACAGTGGAGATTTCACTCTAATACAGGCTCTACTGGGATTCAACAATTCTTTTTACATTGAGAGAATCGAGATGAGTTCAAGCCATTTACAAATAGCCCACAGTGTGTGACTAAAATGTGACCTATTAAGTGTATATCCCATGTATAACGTATAATATTTTATTGTATATCTTTTGTTCTGTCTGTATGTGATGCTACTGACCGATTCCAAACCAATTTCTCCACCGGTGATGACTGATAAATGAAACTTTACCAAATATACTACTAACTCTTGGACTATGAGGATTATCTTCATTTCAAGTCTATTTCCTTTTGGCGTCAGCATATTGATTATCTATTAAAGTTCTACTTAACAAGGTGTGGTTTATCACACAGTGCATTCTTACGAAGGGAAGGAGAAAGGGCAGATTCATGACAGATTATATGTAACGATAACATATACGCAATAAACTTCATACGTGAACATTGTTAAATATTCCTGACTGAAATTGTTTGTTTTTTGTTTTTATTATAATTTGCCATTTCTGGACTATACAAGGTCAACAACAAATGTGTATTTATTGTATCTTTATTACAAGAGACCACATATATAATTTCTATACATCTCTATATGGGCAGCAAGAACGTTCGAATCCCAGTCGGACCCTGGCCTTTCTTAGTGGAGTTTGCATGTTCTCCCTGTGTCTGCTCTGGTTTCTTCTGGCTGCTCCCGTTTCCCCTCACACATGTACAATAGTTCTTGCATGCGCCTCCTGTTCTGCCACCTCGTTCCCATCTCTGTGTGGAGCGAGAGACAAATGCCCACAATTGTAAAACGCTTTGTGACTCTGTGAAAGACGCTACATAAATAAAAATTACTACAGTAATTACTGTACGTTTGCTAAAATGTTAAATATACATAATTGTCTTTTCTCTCTTTTGCCAGTGTTTGAGCCAGAGCAGCCGCAGAGATGGGAGAGTGGGGTTTCTTGTCGACGTTGCTGGATAAGGTCCAGAACCACTCCACGGTCATCGGGAAAATCTGGATGAGCGTCCTGTTCCTGTTCCGCATCATGGTCCTGGGAGCCGGAGCGGAGAGCGTGTGGGGAGACGAACAGTCCGGCTTCATCTGCAACACAAAGCAGCCTGGTTGCGAGAACGTCTGCTACGACTGGACCTTCCCCATCTCGCACATCCGCTTCTGGGTCCTTCAAATCATCTTCGTGTCCACGCCGACGCTGGTCTACCTGGGCCACGCCATGCACGTCATCCACAACGAGAAAAAACTCAGAGAGAAGCTGTTGAGTCCTGGGGGCAGCCGTTTGCTCAAAGTTCCCAAATACACAGACGAGAAAGGGAAGATTAAGATCAAGGGGAATCTTTTGGGAAGCTACTTAACCCAGCTTGTTTTTAAGATCCTGATAGAATCCGGGTTTATCGTGGGGCAGTATTACCTGTACGGGTTTATCATGGTGCCGATGTTCCCCTGCTCCAGAAAGCCCTGCCCCTTCACTGTCGAGTGCTACATGTCCCGTCCCACAGAGAAAACCATCTTCATCATCTTCATGCTGGTGGTGGCTTGCGTCTCTTTGCTCCTGAATGTGGTCGAGATGCTGTACCTGCTCTGCACCAGGGTCAGGTGCGGAGGATCCAGGTCTCACTCCCGGAAGTTCACCTCGCCGGAGAACCCAGCCAGCCTGACCGGTCCCAGGTGGACCAACAGCGAAGATCCCCTGAAGCAGAACAAGATTAACCTGGAGATGGAGAGCAACCAGAGCATCGGGGGCAGTCTGGACGGAGCCAAAGAAGAGAAGCGACTTTTGGGCGGACATTGAAAGAGCGCTGGAGCTCAGGAATGAAGCAAAAGAACTTTGCACAGTCATAATAACTAGAAAAGTGTGCAATACGTTTTAGTACAAAAGGGAAAACTTGTCGACTTAAATGTGTGTTTAAGTTATTGTTGTGCTGTGAACACGCACTATATGTCAGTAATTGAAAGAATTATGGAGAGGTTATTGTTTGAAATGCATTTTTGTATACTGGTTGTTTTGAATAAATACGTAAAGACTTTGATAAGAATAGGTTTCGAGTGTTTTATTGTAAGTAGATAAAGTCAATCACTTACTACAGCGGGTGAAAGTTAGGTTTGATAAGCCTGTAAATGTTCACTCTCAAAGATCACGCTGTTGGTGCACTGAATACAGCAGCCGCTTTTCAACCACACAGATATGAATCCTACCGAGCAAAAAACATGGACAAAACAAATGGAAGAAATTGGTCCAAAATCTTCAAAATTGACCATAGCAAAGTTTTTCCAGTATTTATAATAACAAGTAGACTAATAAGTTACCCAATATGTTTCAAGATTTATGAATACACCTTTTTTTTAAGTAAATCTGAACTTGGATTGTAGAACTGATTGTGGAGAGAGAAGCACATATGGCACTCTTGGACTATTAAGCGCCCCTATATACAATCCACACCATAAGAAAGACCAAAACATGAATATAAGCCGCAGGTTATACGTTTTGTCGTGTAAGTGTCAACAAATCTGATTGACGACTGTTTAAACTGGACTCAACATGATTTAATGAGAATTGGTTTTGATGCCCTAATCAGATGAAAATCCCTTGAATGTAAATGAGCGCTTTTTCTACTGTTCACATAAACATGAACCACAGCAGACAGAGCTGTGTCCAAACTTTTAAAACACATACATGGGCCACATCTCTACAACAGCTGCAGGGTTTTAAGATCTTGAAAAAAGTAGAAATTTATAGTTCAGAATACGCTAATAACTGAGAAATGATCGACTCTCTAAATACTTTACACAACACATTTCATTATTATTTGATTGTGTGAATATTATTACGGACACAGGGACCAACACACCGTGAATTAACGTAAATTTTGATTTGCTCCTTGCTCAAGCGCTCTCTTATTTATCTATATTACTAGCTATACGCAAACAAGTGATATAAAAAAGCAGTAGCTGTGACGAGGAAGTTTGGGAGGTGATCGATGAATGTATCAGACATCTATAAAATATTAACACTGGCAGAAACTGACGTGAAACTTATCAAAAGTATTTATTACAGAGACAATCATTAAATGGACACGCCTGCAGTTTCTTGGAGCTTGGTCCCCAAAAACATGTCTGAGATTTACTCCCAGATGTCAGGACAACGTGACCGGTCTCATGTAGCCGCAGTTGCACAATAACAAGTTCAAAGTTTGATAGAGACGGGATCAGTTTGGATCAGAGGTCTTTCTAGCCCGAGCCGGAGAGCTGTGTCTGTGTGTGTGTGTGTGTCCCGGCATCTCGTATTAAGGTAAGAAGCACTGTTTTTGTCAAAGCGTAAAATATGCAGAATTACAACAATATGTGATTTTTTTTGATTAATCGTCACTCTCTAAAACACTAGATATGTACCAATTTACACCATGAGGATGAACATGTGTGTGTGTCCCTATATCCATGGTCTATCCCCAATATCTCTAATGAAAATGTTATTTCTTTGTGTGAATCTACCACAGTATTGTAATTAAGTATTTACAAATATTAGAATATGCATTTTTGTTTTTTGAGCCTAAAAAAATCTTGATCTTGTGTCTCCTTCATGAGATTGTGTGATTTTTCGTGCGGGTAAAGCAATAACATTATTTATTTGAGTTTTAAATTATGCGTTTTTGTTGTTTTTATAATGGGACACCAATATTTCATGAGAATTTTAGCTAAGGGTAATTCTCGATGTCTGTCGCTGTAACAGAATGTTTCAGACCGACCTAAAGTGTGGTGTCTCTTTAATGTTTACTAGAAGTGGCTGAGTACAAAGGTGAAGGTATTGGTAAATGTAGCATCAATTCGAGTAATTATTATTTTAATGGCATGTAGTGTGTGTGTGTGTGTGTGTGTATGTGTGTGTCTAGCATGTGTTGCCAAGTTCAGTTCGAGACCAAACCAGCTGGATGCTACCAGAATAAACGAAAATAATACAAATAAGGCACATTCCGCTTTCTGATTGGAAACAATACAATACAAATTATTCTTGTATATCCCTAAGTCAAAACAGAAGTAATCTCAGAGGACTTAACAAAACCATTGAAATCACCAACACAGATCAGAGAATCAACAGTTAAGACACATGTTGATAAATGCCATACATGTTGTAGAATGTTAAAGTGTCCTGGATCATCACCACAGTCCTTCTAGTCGGACACTAACTGTCCAACAAGACCCTCCTGCATCGACAAGGAAAAACTCACAAGAAAACCCAGTGGGAAAAAGTGAGAAACCTTGGGGAGAACTAGGGAAACCCACAGGGAGGGAGACCCATTTGAGAAAGGGATCCGCTCCTCCGGACGGACAGGCTAATGATCTAGGACCTAAGCTAGCTACAGAACGTGGACCAGTGGCCGCTGAACGTGGACAGGTCCGGTGCAGGACTGAAGCACTCCCAGGCGGGTCGGACAGGGCAGTCCGCAGGTGTAGATGGAGGAGGCCAGGCTCAGAGATCCCGTCATCGTACCATGAAACAGACAATGGGACAACGGGTGAATAGCAATGAACAAACTACAGTCAAAATCCTAAAAATGCTAAACAGATAAAGTAGGAAGGAGGAGAGGATAGTGCTCAAGTTACCATACTTCTCCCAGCAAACTGACTCCCTATGCAGCTTGACTAACACTCTGAGGAGTTTAGCCTTCCCTGAGTCTTACCTTCCTAGCCATATGCTAAACTAAAGAGGACTGTTTTAGCCTAACCTGGAACTTCGGGTTGAAGATGCATACGCAGACTCCAAGACCGGACAAAACCTGACCGGACAACAACCTAACCAAATGCTAAGTTGAAAAAGAGTGTTTTAAGCCTGGCCTTAAACGTAGAGACCGTGTCTGCTTCCTTAACGTGCGTGGGGAGCTGATTCCACAGTAGAGGAGCTTGGTAACTAAATGCTCTGCCACCTACAGTGCTTTTTGAAACCTTAGGGACCACCAGACGTCTGGTGTCTGGATACCATGCTGAATAATAGATAAACGAGGTCAAATAAAATAGCTGTGATTTAAAATAAAATGTTACACACTGTCCCTTTAATCTGTGATGGTGATTATTATTGTCATCATTGTTTTTGAGCTCATGCTTGTTGATAGACCCACACTGACCCTACACCTGTCTGTCCCTGTGCTCCCCCTGCCTCTGTCCACAGCCGCCATGGGAGAGTGGGGGTTCCTGTCTTCGCTGCTGGATAAGGTGCAGTCTCACTCCACGGTCGTGGGTAAAGTGTGGCTCAGTGTTCTCTTCATCTTCAGGATCATGATCCTCGGAGCCGGAGCAGAGAAGGTCAGAGTTTGTCCAATTAGAAGAAAACTTCACTTCTACTCACACAGCACCATCTAGTGGCGACAGTCACACTCAACAAGTGTGAGTCAGTGCCCAGAGGTTCTCAAACTGGGACCCCATGTGGTATTGGGCATTTTTACACACCAGTATGAGTACAATATCATCTCCCAGCTCTGAGTCATAGTCAGCGGAACCAGCAACTTCCCACGGGCCAAATCTGAGTGGACAAATACTTACTAAATCTGTCCTCTAAGAAAATGAATAGCTCTTATATAGTTGGATTAAAAAGGTGTCTGATTTAAACGTGTGCAATTTATAACTAGTCGTACTAATATCAATAATAACCTTTTGAATTCTGCATTTATTCATGTTTGTGTGGATGGATGTTTCCGCTGCCTGACACCTAGATTTTTTCAGAGAGATTTATTCAGACAAATTTAACATTTATTACATGAAAATAGAAAAGGTCTAAAATGGAATAGAGCTTCTGCCTATTCCAGAACAAAAAGCTGCAAATGTTCAGTTATACAGTTTAGTTTTTTAATATGATTTTATTTATTTTTTAAGTTGTAAATTCACTGAGTCGATTTAGGTGTTTGATTGACAGGTGTGGGGAGACGAGCAGTCCAACATGGTGTGCAACACTCAGCAGCCTGGTTGTAAGAACGTCTGCTATGACCAGGCCTTCCCCATCTCCCACATCCGCTTCTGGGTCCTCCAAATCATCTTCGTGTCCTCTCCCACCCTCATCTACCTGGGCCACGTCATGCACGTCATCCACAAGGAGAACAAGCTCAGAGAACACATGCAGACCCACTCCAGCCAAACCGCCAAAGCCCCCAAATACTCAGACGACAAAGGCCACGTCCAGATCAAGGGAGACCTCCTCGGAAACTACATGATATCTATATTTTTCAGAATTCTCCTGGAGGTGGCGTTCATCGTGGGGCAGTACTACCTCTATGGGTTTGTCATGCAGCCTCAGGTGGTTTGCAAACGGGATCCATGCCCATTCACCGTTGAGTGTTTTATGTCTCGACCCACGGAGAAAACCATATTTATAATCTTCATGCTGGTTGTGGCTTGTGTGTCTCTGGTACTCAACGTGGTGGAGGTCTTCTATCTGGCATGTGCCCGCTCCAAAAGACGGTCGAGGACTGTGGCCGCGTCCGCCCTCTCCATCCAGCCGCGGTTCAGTGGCAACAGCCTGATGCAGAATGAGAAGATGAGTCTCACCGATGTGCGCCACAGTAAAGCATAAATATATGTGTGGTTGATATGAAAACAGAGGGAGAGATCTTTTAGAATGACAGCCTGGTTTGTATATGTGTCCACTTTACATATATATACACTTAACAATGTAACTTCTTGGAATATTCCAGACATCAATTTCATCCCATAGATTACTACGTACACAGATTTACAGAGGACCGGCCAATGTGATGTTTAAATATTGACCTCTAAAACATAAATATATATTTGTATACATTTGTTGAATTGCCTTGTATCAAACATGTTGACTTGTGTGTAGTTTTGTCTCCTCATAGTTTGCACAGTTATAATTATGATAATACTTGTAGGTGTATATTTCTAAGAAGATGTTTTTATATGCTTTATTAAAAATAATGATGGCACTATGGCCATGTTGTTATATTTTTTACTAAAGTTTGCTGTTTAGTGTTTCTGTGTGCGGTGTAGTTTGTTCAATAATATGTTGAACTCATGTGGGTTTCCATTAATGTGTAGAACCAGGAGCAAAGCCAAAGTCGGAGGGGCTGATGGCACATCCTGGTTCCCACACTCAGTGTGTCCCAGGGCAGCTGTGGCTACATTAGTAGTTCATCACCACTGTGTATGGAGTGAAAGAATAATGACTAGTGAAGTGTTTTTGAGTGTCCTGAGAAGCACTCTACATGACTGATGAATTCATTATTATTATCAATTTGTACTAAAATATTACATTTAAAAGTTATACATGACATTTTACTGGTTAAGATGAATAACCGAGGAAAGTGAATTCATATCAACAATATGAATCACATTTTATATTGTTTTGTGAGAAGAAGCTTGAAAGCATCACATTGACTTCTCTTATTATTATAGATCCATGTCTGTGTCACAAATACCTTTACCCTCACAGACCAGCAGGGGGCGCTGCACGCCACACACCGGTGAATGACAGGCGGAAGTCCCGCCCTTCGTGTCTTCCTCCTCATAACAACAAACAGCTGTACTGAAGATGGCGGCCGCGACTGTGGCGGGGCTCGACCTGCTCACCATGGACCAGAGGAAGTTTGACTACTTCTCCTCCATCAACCCCATGGCCAAGAAGATCATGCAGGAGCGGGAGAAGATCAAGAGCAAGCACGGGTCCACCTGGGACACCATGAGTCCGGAAGAGCAGGACACCGCCATCGACAACTGGATGATCGACCCTCACATCAGAGCCAGATACGCCATGCACCGGGTGGAGCGGGAGGAGGTGGTGTGTTACCCCAAACTGCTCCTCCAGACGGGACAGAAGATTGTCCACTTCGGGGAGGAGGTAACCAACTCTGGAGCTTTGATATTTGTGTTGAAGTTTGTGCTGAGGCCACGGAGCAAACTAAACAATAACCTCAGAGCAGAAAGCTGACTCACTCACGCTCTCTGACGCATTTCAACAGGACTCTATTGTTAGTGTTATATTAACAAGCTCCACATCCACCTCTGTCTGTTCATCATCATCATATTGTCAAAACTAACAAATGCTATTGCTCTTAGGATATCACTTGGCAAGATGAGCATTCTGCTCCCTTCTCATGGGAAACAAGGGTAATGCATATTGAAGCTAAATTACATTTGCTTTCGCTTTTCCTTTCCCTTAAACCCAATGTTGTTTGTTACGTTTTCAGAGCCAGTTGGACTTTAGCTTGGCTCCTGGTTCTACAGAACAGGTCATATGTTCCTCCCAAGCAGATACAAAAGCTTTAAAAGGACAGCCCAACAAAACAACTACAGCAAATAAGGTATGGGAAAGGAGACATGCAGTGTGATATTATAATTGTATTGTTTTGTGATGAAAGAGCTAACATGTTTGGTTTGACAGGTTAGTGCCTCTGAAAGCAGAAGATCAGAGGAGGAGTCGTCCTTCTGGAAGATCAGTGCAGAAAGGTCCAGGTTGGAAGGGGAAAAGGCTAATTTCCAATCTCTCACGCCGAGTCAAATCAAATCTTTGGAGAAGGGAGAGAAACCACTTCCTTCCTACTTACGACAGGTAAAAAGGCAAAGGCCGAGGCTTATGGAACGCTAGCAATGTACAATAAATGACCTGTGTGGGAAATGTTTCTGATTGGAAAGAATGCAGGGATTGCTTTGTCACTGTTGCGGCTCCACTTCACGAGGCCGCTGTAATTCAAGCCAAATATTTGTTCTGTGGCGCTTTCTTTGAACAATGTAGAAAGATCCTGTGAAGTACTTTACAGTCACTCCGATTTCAGAGCCAGTTTTCAGTATGTTGCTAAAGTTTATGGAGTCTTGTGTCAATTCTGTTATGAAGCTGTAAGATTATGTTTAGTTCAAGCCCCAAAAAGTGTACAACAAAAACAGTGGTTGTGAGAATCCTGAAAGTCAAACTCCTATTTTAAAAATGAGTGGGATGAAGTCGAACACTTTTGATTCCATCTCTCCTCTTTTAACATCTTATTAGTATTTCACTTTTTGCTTTGACCCACTTTCTCATAAAGCACGAGCACTGATATTTTGCTACATATTTAAAATATCTAAGAAACGTAAACAAAGACATTTTCATAATGTCTAAATGTTATTTTTTTTAAATATGTTTTCCGTGAATTGTTTTACGTTTGGACATAGAATATAAAACACTGTGTTCTTAATGAAGCAAAATGATAATTATCTAAAACAATGCTGCTGCTCATTTAAACTGTTATTTTTTTTGACAATATATTTTTTTTAAACTGTTTTATTTTCTCATTCCAAGGGAGACGTGTCTGTGTCTCTTTAAAACTAGATCATTTTGCTTTGTCCCATTGTTAAATACTGCCCTAAGTCTCAGTCAGAATGTGCTCAGATCAAGACACACCCTGCCGAACACGAGACACCCTTGAACCATTTCTCATCACCCCTTGCAGTGAAGACAATCCTCACAAAACAAAAGAATGACATAAACAAAGATATTGTTTCTCGTATAAAACATAAAACGTATAATATTTTCACTTTTTAAATAAAATGACATTCAAATTCTCACTTAAAATCCCCCTGTGCTACAAACTAAGTCAGAAAAGTCATTTCCATCAGCAGATAAAAGTCAAAATACACTTGAATTAAGAGAAATGCTTCCTTTTTACTGATTAAAAACACATTTTCAGTGATCCTTGTATTTCTTAGCTTGTTTTAAGAACTTTAAACTCTTTCTAATATTAAACCAGACAATTCAGTCTGTAAAGGGAAGTCATGTAATCTAAACAGTTGCTGTCTTTGCAACATTCTAGTCTGTAATTGTGATGTATCCTGCAGCATTGCTAACCTCTAACATTTAAAATGCTGATGCTCTCCCCGCGCCCCACAGGAGACGTCTGTGATGAAGGAGCTCGAGCCGGTGGCAGAACACCTCCCTCCTCCTCTAGCCCCCACCAAACCCGTCAAACAGCGGGCCCCGAAACCTCCCGCTCCTCAGCCTCCTGTGGCCGTCAGTCCCATGCCCGCCTCCATCTCCATCTCCACCAAGCCCAGCCCCGCGCCCATCTCCACCAAACCCAGCCCCGCCCCCATCTCCATCTCCACCAGCCCCATGCCCATCTCCATCTCCACCAAACCTGCGCCTCCAATCACCGTCTCCTCCTCGGTGGGGGGGTGGGAGAGGTCTCAGAGCACCCTGCCCTCGGTCAGCAACACTTCAGATGAGGTGTTTTCCTCCAGCATCATGTCCAAACCTCCACCCGCCTCCAACGCCGCAGAGAAGCACAAACCGGAGGAGCCTGTGGCAGAGGATGGGAGTCCGACATTCTCTCAGGTCAGCAATTCTCTCAGTTTATTCATATATAACGTCTGTTTAAGCCTGAGTTTATGCCATACTTTTATATTGGGAGTGGACTGACAGCGCTGAAGGTCACCATAGTGTTAGCAAATTTGAACTTAAGCTAGTTGGAGCCTTATATGGGCCTTTGTTCCGACGGCGTTAGCTTTGCGCCGTAACATAAGCAGATGTGTTGCTCAGGCAAGCTGGAGTTTCCCCAGCGACTGGACCAGTGGACGTGTGCTGACATGCTTGCAATACCACCCCGGGCCAGTGGGGGTGTACCCGGAATAAGAATTGAGGAGATACACTGCCTGAGCTTATGATGTAATGCAAACCTGTGCATGCGGTTCTCACGGCAGCCAAAGCAAACAAAGATGGCGGACATAAAGTCTGGGAATTGCTTTAAAAGTTTAAATACGAACGATTCAAGACACAGATGTCACTTTGTAAGCAATTTGAGGCGAGATGTTGATGGTTCCAGGTTGTGATATGTGGGTTTTTAAGAGTCAAAGTTTCAAGTGAAGTTTGGTCAACTGCTGTCAAACCACACTGCTGCTGTGTTGATGTTAGCAGTCCCTTCTTGTCGAGTTGAATACGTCTTATTTTCTGATGTAGGCCAATGACTCATCCTGTGGCTAACTCGACAGCTAATAGCTTACAAAGGGTCTGTCGGGTTGGTAATGGAAAAAAATAAACAAAATCTAACTAAGTCTAACTAAGCAATTTGGCTACAGTTATATAACATTAATCATTGGATCGCGCCCTTTTAAATGAAATCTTCTGTGTCCTCAGTTCAACACCAGCAGCTCCATCCTGAAGACTGGATTCGACTTCCTTGACAACTGGTAAAAGCGGGCCACAACAACACCCCCCCCCCCCCCCTCCCCCTCTTCCTGATCCTGTCGCTCTGAAGAAGGACCACACTGCCACTGCTCTCTGTGTAACTCCAGCTGTTCCCACCTGTATCCGAGCAATACTCACTTTATGTTTATAGCATTTGAATGAAAAACCTTTTCCGGTTCAGACCTGGTGTCTTGAATTGTTCCTCATAATATAATCGATAATATGTGTTGAATAAATTGCCTTGATTCAGGTGAGATTATTGGGATTTAAAGAAAACTAGGAACTATTGAGCTTTCCAACTTGATGTTGCAAGGTTTTGTACTTTTTTAAATAGAGATCCATCTTGTTGTCGAACGGCGAGTAGCGAAAAGTTATGTGTAGCTGCAGCTGTTCTGGACGGAACAGGTCGCGTTTTTGTTCTCAGATTTTACAATGTCATAATTTAATTTGGGAGATTCCGTTGAGTTCCGATCCCCAAATGTTGAACCGTATATAATTTATTTGGGATATTTCTTCAAAAAAATGTGTGGTATTTAATCTTATGGCTCCAGTGCTTTCAGATGCTAATGCTCATGTTAGCTTTCAGATGCTAATGCTCATGTTAGCTTTGAGTAGTGACGCTATCATTGTTACGGTAAGAATTCACATTTTTGGCAATATCTCTGGTTAGCTTAGGACGAATGAGGCTGAGTTTACACGGAGACAATGTGGCAGTAAAACGGTATAGTTGGATGTCGGTTGCTACCAACCGTTCATACGAAGACTGTGTTCCAGGGGGGTGAAAACGTAAGTGTTCAGATCCAGCCTGCAGAGTGGGACAACTCAGAAACGCTGCACAGCAGGGAGCTTTTTCACACCCGCGAGAGGGGAAAAGGTGTGAAATCCCCCTCTGCTCTGACCCCCACCTCCGTGCTGCTCCCCGCACGTACATTTGGACATGCGCAGTAGCGGAGAACAAACAAAAACAATAATGGCGCCGCCCACACAAACTAGCTACGTGGGCTTCCAGCGCGGGACAGAGGATAATTCTACACCTTCGTTCGTCCAAACGAGACCACGCGAAGCTCTAGGTTCAGTTCCCATTTTCCCAGATGCTGTTAAAAAGCAGAATGATGTTGGTGCGTTCTGAGGGTCTGGCACAGGAAGTGAGTACACTGCCGAGAGGGGGGCTGGGCACGGGGCTGGGCACGGGGCTGGGGGTCGTGTGAGTGTTTTAAAGTTTCTCTGCCCACTACTGGCCGGGCGCTAGAACTACATCGTTTTTCAACCTCATGTGAACGCTGAGAAATTTGCATTAGGAGCCAGGTCGTTTCTGTAAATAGCCTGGAAACGTCTGTGCAGCGTCTCAGTATAAACAGGGCCTGAATTAGGACGACAATCCAAGGAATGTTTAGGAGGATTTATTTCATGATCTATTATACTATGTGTATGTGTAATTTGCAAAAACAGATCTGTGCCGGTAGAATACATACTTGAAAAACTTATTTGTCCTTTACCAAGTACTTTTTATGGCTTTCTTTAGTGCCATAGGAACACAGGTTTACCCCTTCTTCAGCAAATTCTTAACTCAAAAGGGCAAAACATTTGAACACTCAGAGACACAAAGGGAGAGAGGGCAGACAGGCTGTAGATCCAAGACTCGGGCTGTAGAACGAGGTCTGAGGCGGCTCTTCTGAGGACGGATTCATCACACTATGTAACGGACAGTGGGAGAATAGCAATGAACAGACTACAGCTGAAATCATCATAATCGCAAATAAAATGGGGAGGATTTTTAAAAATGGGAATCTGTTTTTGCAAATGAGCTCTTGATAGGTTAAATTATAATGTTACTGTGTGTCTGGGTCTTGAGTCTATTCAAGTAAATGAATAGGAAACGTTATTATGTTTATTTTTTTTACTGTGCTGATAAATGATGCAAACCGAAGGATGCTAACGGCGATGGTTAACGCTAACAAGCTGACCCGTTTTATACTTTTTACTTCTGTCACAATGTATTTAATCCTTGCATTTATTTTTGTAACAACTTTAAAGGAGCTCTACGCAACTTTTACGTGGGGAAAAAGTGTAAATATTTTTGCATATTTGACCCAGTGGCTTAAAGGCGGTCGCCGTGATACTTTTAATCACGGTTGTGTCATTCAGGATCGTTCCAAATGAACAAATCCAACCACAGCAAACTTCTTCATCCAATTAGAAAACGTATGTGTATTTTACAAACTTTAGAAAGAGCCCTGTGATTGGACGGTTTGGGCTGCGAGCTGATTGGCTGAGTGAGGCTCAAAAACACAACGCATACACACAATCAAAAACCACTTTCGTATACTTTGAATTATTTCCTCTTACAAGTCTGGTCGAATTCCAACATAGTTTCACAATTTTTGTCTCGTGAGAATACCACAACTTTCTCCAATCCACTTTTTTTATACAGCACATTTCTTAAACAAGCAAAGTGCTGCATAACAACAAAATACATAGAAGCAAAAATAGCAACAAAAAATGGGTAAAAAGAACCACACGACTCACGCAGTGTCACAAACTCATCCGTTTTAAAGTTCTGATGTTTAAAATCATATCTCCTTTGATCTTAATTTTTTTGTAGTAAACACAAATACCCCAAAATGATCTTCTAGCGTCCTACAGACCACTGGGCTACTCACAAAGTCAAATATGCAAAAATATCAATTCCTCTCAAAGTTGCTTAAAACCCGCTTTGAATCATGTATCGTGAAAATGGCTGCTTTCTAGCTACAAACCAAGTGAAATATTATCAATAAGTGACATGTGATGGTATTGATTTAGATTTGCTGGTGTGTGTTTGGCTGCGCCCGTCACCATGAGTACCATGTAGATACTGTACATTCTGATGTCGGAAAAAGGCATGCAGTGACGTTTCCCACTTGTGTCATAGAGAGAAGTATTTTACTGACTTTTATATCTGTCCTCATATCACGAGCGTTACATGCAGTACACGTAGCCGCCACTTGAGGTGTTTTGAGGGTGCATAAATATAAATAAAACGTTGAAATATTTTGCTCTGTCAAGTTGTATTTGATGGAATGTGTTTAGCTTATGGGCACGGTTAGCGCTTCTGCTTCACTGTAAGAGAGAGAGACCTCCCCCCAATGTAAGAGAGAGACCCCCCCCCAATGTAAGAGAGAGACCCCCCCCCAATGTAAGAGAGAGACCTCCCCCCCAATGTAAGAGAGAGACCCCCCCCAATGTAAGAGAGAGACCCCCCCCCAATGTAAGAGAGAGACCTCCCCCCAATGTAAGAGAGAGACCTCCCCCCAATGTAAGAGAGAGACCTCCCCCCAATGTAAGAGAGAGACCTCCCCCCCAATGTAAGAGAGAGACCTCCCTCCCAATGTAAGAGAGAGACCTCCCTCCCAATGTAAGAGAGAGACCTCCCCCCAATGTAAGAGAGAGACCTCCCCCCCAATGTAAGAGAGAGGACCTCCCCCCCAATGTAAGAGAGACCTCCCCCCAATGTATGAGAGAGACCTCCCCCCCAATGTAAGAGAGAGACCTCCCCCCCAATGTAGGAGAGAGGCCTCCCCCCCAATGTAAGAGAGAGACCTCCCCCCCAATGTAAGAGAGACCTCCCCCCAATGTATGAGAGAGACCTCCCCCCCAATGTAAGAGAGAGACCTCCCCCCCAATGTAAGAGAGAGACCTCCCCCCCAATGTAAGAGAGAGACCTCTGCCCCAATGTAAGAGAGAGACCTCTGCCCCAATGTAAGAAAGAGACCTCCCCCCCAATGTAAGAGAGAGACCTCCCCCCCAATGTAAGAGAGAGACCTCCCCCCCAATGTAAGAGAGAGACCTCCCCCCCAATGTAAGAGAGAGACCTCCCTCCCAATGTAAGAGAGAGACCTCCCCCCAATGTAAGAGAGAGACCTCCCCCCCCAATGTAAGAGAGAGACCTCCCCCCCCAATGTAAGAGAGAGACCCCCCCCCCCCCAATGTAAGAGAGAGACCTCCCCCCCCCCAATGTAAGAGAGAGACCTCCCCCCCATTGTAAGAGAGAGACCTCCCCCCAATGTAAGCGAGAGACCTCCCCCCCCAATGTAAGAGAGAGACCTCCCTCCAATGTAAGAGAGAGACCTCCCCCCAATGTATGAGAGAGACCTCCCCCCCAATGTAAGAGAGAGACCTTCCCCCCCCCCCCAATGTAAGAGAGAGACCTCCCCCCCAATGTAAGAGAGAGACCTCCGCCCCAATGTAAGAGAGAGACCTCTGCCCCAATGTAAGAGAGAGACCTCCCCCCCAATGTAAGAGAGAGACCTCCCCCCCAATGTAAGAGAGAGACCTCCCCCCCAATGTAAGAGAGAGACCTCCGCCCCAATGTAAGAGAGAGACCTCTGCCCCAATGTAAGAGAGAGACCTCCCCCCAATGTAAGAGAGACCACAAAGTCCAAATCCAGACAGGGCCTTTCTGTTTGGAGTTTGCATGTTCTCCCTGTGGTTATGTTGGTTTCCTCCAGGTGCTCCGGTTTCCCCCTACTACTAAAAAATGTACAATAGGTGAATTGAAGTGTGTGATTATGAACGGGGCAGTGAGACAAAACGGTGCAAGTTAGCCCAAGAGTGCAATCTAGAGAGTTGCGTTCGCTAACATGCACTGTCAAAACCAAATAAACAATGAATTAGGACAAAAAACAAACAAAAACATCACTAAGGTTCAGTTATATTGCGCATTTTTACAGACCCAGATCACTCAAAGCGCTTTACAATTGTTCAGAGTTCAGATATTCTATTCTCTCCACACACGGTGATGATGGAAGCGAGTCGCGAACACACTGGTCCATCAAAGCCTCTGACCAAACACCATCCATTCACTCACTCATTACATTCATACCTAATGTGCATGTTTTTAGCGGTATAGGGGAAACCGAAGCACCTACGCAGACACGGGGAGAACATGCAAACTCCACTCAGAAAGGCCCTGCTCCGATCGAGATTCGAACCCAGGACCTTCAGTACCATAACCGTTGATACAGAAGCCAAGGGAGCTTCTTGTGCAGAAGTCTGAGGAAACAAGCGCCTGGTTCATTTTAAATCCGCTCGCAGAGATTCTATTTTAAGAGTAATGCGCCTCATGCAGATTCACACATTATTAATTCAACGTTGGATAGAAGCAAGAATAGAGCAGCGTCTGAATAAGTTACAGCTTTGGTGTTTAGTGATGCATGTGCACAAGTGGCTCATGAATATCGCACTAGCTAACGTGTGTGGAGTTTGTGTATGAAATGTGCTATACAAAAAAACTTGCCTTGGCTAGTGTAGTATGTTAGATGTGCATTACCAGGGGTGTAACTGGGCCACTTTAGTTCAGCAAGACTAAACCTGGATTGTGAAAACTGTTGACCTGACCGGATCCAGGCTGTTCCTTACTTATAAAATGAGGTTTGACGGGTCCATATTGATTCACATTTGACAGAGCTGAAGTTGGCTGAATGACAAATGTTTACTATTTCACATTCATAAAATATTGTGACACAATATTTCAAAAGAACCAAATATATATATATATATATATACACAGTATCTCAAGACAAAATTAACCTTTTTGAATCACAGTAAAAACCAAATCTCAGTGTATACAACTAGTGTCAAACTAGCAACTTGCTACAACTAGCAAGTCAAAGCGTGATTCTAGACCTTTCCAACGATGAGGTAATAATTGCTTGAATTAAGTGGTTTTTAATCCTAATTTTAATCCTAATTTTTTAAAACATGATTTACCAATGGGAAAAAGCTATTTAATCAGAACTGTTGCTGTATTTTATCATTTCAAGGGAGACATTTCTTGTATCTTTTTAAAACAAGTTCATTTTTCTTTGTCCCATTGGCAAATTTTGTTTTAAGGCAGTTAGAATACACTCAGATGTTGATACTTTTTGCCAGATTTGCAGTGTATAGCATGCAAACATTAATACATCTGAAGTGATCTGCATGACACTGCAAACAAACCACTTTTTGATAGCAAGCCAGAGGGTCACCTAGCAGGACAGAAAGGGCCGCAATTGGCTCGTGGGCCTGAGTTTGGACTTGCCTGCACTACACCTTCAGTGATAAACAGCTTAAGAGAGTGGCTGAACCCGGGGAGCAGAACTGAAGGCTCCTTGTGCACAGCTCTGCTCCATCTCCCTCTATGAAAGAAGCTCTATGTTCCCACGCCACTATTTTCACCACAAATGTTTGGGTCAATCCAAATTATAGCACGGTATTTGACTTTAAAAGCAACATTTAACGAGCTGGTAAATAGCCTAATTCGCCTTCATTACTATTAGCTGATATTTTATGAATCTCTGTGAGCCCCAAACACTACTTAGTTTTGGAGTTAAGAGGGAAAAAAGTTGTAGTTTAGACATACAATGATGTAATTCTGAGAAAGAACGACAAATATTTTCCAGTCTGGATTCAAAGCAAGGTCTGGAAAAGGTTGCCATTGTGTTGGGAGCAGCAGCTGGAGCCCAGACCCAGGAGTCCGGAGAAACTCACTGGATTCTTGTGGCATTTTTAGAGGCGCATACCAACCAACAAGTACGTAAAGTCAGACTGAGGTGACACATGGGTGTTTATGGAAAGCTGGGAACCCCATTTTCCATAAATAATATATTGTTTGTCCCACTAGAAAGTGGTGAGTAAAATATTGTGAACAAATCAGACAATGGACCTATTTTTAGAAAACATGTATACTTTTTGCTGATTGGCTAAGTGAGGATGGTCTTCACTTTTCTCCAACCCTGCGTCTCTGTATCTGTCTGTGTATCTCTGTGTGTCTGTGTCTGTCTGTGTGTCTGTGTCTGTGTATCTCTGTGTGTCTGTGTCTGTCTGTGTGTCTGTGTCTGTGTATCTGTGTGTGTCTGTGTGTCTCTGTGTATGCAGACTGTCCTATAGGTCATACAGGCAAATGCTAAGCACGCGTCCACTGGGGGGCGCCACGGCACTGTCAGAAAAGTCAGAAATGGGAAATTTTTAAAAGTGTAATTGTGACTATTTTTATTAGTTGGTACTATTATTTCTTAATACAAAAATAATTCCACATTACTTTAAATTCAAAGCAAAACCTATTTAATGAAATAATATAATACAATGCGCTCACTCGCTCGGTGCGCCCCCTCCCTTCCATTACTGCGGTTAAGAGGGGCCAGGTTTGTCTGCGGTATGGGGTCCGCACATCAACAGCGGGTGGCCCCTTTGGGCTGTTACTTACGTCAAAGTGGAAAGGGAAGCCGCCAAAATGCACTCTTATTTTTGGAAAATCTGAAAGAGGTTTTATGACTACTTTCACTGCACACTTGTTCACTGGGATGCCCTCTACAAATGTGCAAGGGGCCCCATGATATATTTACACCTAGGGCGCTTGATGGCCTAGAGCCGGCCCTGTGTGTATGCATCTGGCTCTCTGTGTCTCTGTGCATGCCTCTGTGTGTGTCTCTGTGTGTGTCTCTGTGCATGCCTTTGTGTGTGTCTCTGTGCATGCCTCTGTGTGTGTCTGTGTGTCTCTGTGCATGCCTCTGTGTGTGTCTCTGTGTCTCTGTGCATGCCTCTGTGTGTGTCTCTGTGTGTGTCTCTGTGCATGTCTCTGTGCATGCCTCTGTGTGTGTCTCTGTGTCTCTATGCAGGCCTCTGTGTGTGTCTCTGTGTCTCTCTGTGTGTGTCTCTGTGTGTGTCTCTGTCTAAACTTTACGCGGTGGGAGGTGGAGGGGAACAAGCCATACATATGACGCGGCTTCCTGCAATCATGTGAAGCAGAAAAACGAGAAGATGCAGTGTCAGTCCGGTCACTCTCTCCAGGAAAGAACCACAACACACCAGGAGTAGACACGGATCAGCACCAGCCCTGCCCAGCCCTGCCCAGCCCTGCCCAGCCCAGCCCTGCCCAGGGGAGTGGACCAAAGCGAGACAGACCCCGCACACCAAGCCCGACATGGATCCATCTTTGCGCCCTCTGGCTCTGCTGACGCTCGGGGCTCTGTGCGCTCTTGGCGGCTGCTCACCACACGGCGCGTCCGAAACGGTACCAACCCAGGTATGAGGGCAAACCTTTCACCCCATTGAAGATAAGCAATGAATGGGTTTTTATTACACTTTCTGTGCAATTATGATAACGCTGAACTTGTCCTTACAACAGAATGCAGAGGTCAGTGAGGTTTTGGTTATTGCAAGGTCCAAGAAAACTTTTATCTGCGACGCGGTAGAGGCTGAGGATCGAGTTATTGACTGTTATTTTCTAAAAGCTGGGGTACCTTAAGTTTCAAACCACAAATAATGGAACTATATCAAAGCCATATAACTAGTTCCTCACTCTCAAAACAGTTTGGTTCTATCACTAACTTTCACATGCATGGATTTGAGGCTATTGTTACATATTTGGATCAGCTTTTTTGGACAGAAAAGTCAAAGAAAAAGAGGACCACCCACTCTCACTCAGTCAGTCAACTCATCCAACAACAAATATGCACAAAATAAGGTTGTCTAATAAGATCAAGGCAGATTTTTCTGGTTGAATTCGTTCACAACATTTGACTTTTATATGAGTCTTTCTGGGGACAATCAACACGTGCTTTTTATGAAACAGAAAAGTTAGGTAACCCAGCTTTAACAGATACATAGATGGATGGATAGATACATGAACAGATGAATACATAGATTGATAGATACTTTATTGATCCCAGTTGGACAAATTCAGGTTTCCAGCAGCAAGAACTGAATAATTCCCCCGAAACACTAAATTTTTAATACTACTTATGATTATATTTAAAATGTAGTTTTTATTCTGTGTTTACCTACGATACATGCTCAAACGGCTAAATATTAAATAACTAAAGAAAAGGTTTGTTGATAGGCTAATTGCTAACTGTGTTGACAAGTAAACAGTGTGTTGCCATGGTAACTCTTTCTCTGGTGGAAAAAAACAAAGCATGTTGCCATGGGATGTTGGTTGCCAAGTGACCAAAAATGGCTACATTTGAATTTTACATTGAAATGATCACAGCTGTCAAAAAGTCCTCCGACATAACTTTTGTTGAGATTTAGGGCCAGACAAAAATACATTGAATCTTTGCAAAACACTTACTGCACTTGATGAATGATTTTGTAGTTTTTTGTTTATTTGTAATTTGTGAAAGTAAAAATAGTATCAATAGCACATCAAAGTAGCATGTTCTGATTTAGACTTTTTTCACAATTTTCTCTGTTCTTTGTCGCAGGCAGCTGGGTTAAAAGTGAAGAGAGCGAGAGGAGACAATCCAGACTTCCTCCCAGAACCCGAGCCGACACACGCCACCTCAGACTTCGAAAATTCATACAACTACGTCTGTGTGTGTCGTTTTCGTATGGGATAACGTTTGAGACTCAAAGACTGAACACTCAATGTCTAAAATGATTTCTGTGTCTCTTCTACAGTGTCCAGACTGGCCAGTTTAGACCAGTCCATCCACAAGCTCAATGTGGGACAATACACACTGGACGTCAAGGTCAGCCAGTTCATCGACCGCCTCTCCAGGGTGGATGGTACGCAAGGCTTTAATTTCATTTTTATTTTGTTATAGAATCAAAAAACGCAATCCCACAAGCTCCATAAACCCATGAACTTGACCTCCATACTGTATATACCTCCATCAGAATATCAGAATCGAACTTAGCATTGTTTTTGGCAACAGGAAGACAACACAATAAAATAAGGCCTGCATAAAAAAAAGATTACTTGACATTTCTTAAAATTACTACTACTGTCCTAGCCTGGTCATACCACACCATAGTACAAATTACATTTCGTACAAAGGTCGAGAGGTGCTCCATTGAGCACCGTTTACAGGTGGGTGGGGTTAACTTCTTTTGCAGATTGAAACGATTGGATCTGAGTTTACCGTCACGTTTGTTGTGTGCCCGAGTGAGTCGTTAGCATTTAGCATTTAGGCTAGCCATCTCCTTTGCCGCTAACGGAGCCCGTGGGGAGTAGCGCCACAATTTGTTCCAGCGATTACATTTGCTAAACATTCCTCTTGCTCCGGCTTCAATTCCTTGATAGAACGAGACCGGATTATTTTACTATCGCATTTTTTGCCATTCCCAAACTACAACCTTCCCGTTCGACGCAAACTCTTGACGTCACCCACAACTAACTACAACACCTGCCTCCCGCGCTCTCTGATTGGTCGGATGGAATTCAACCGATATAATCGTAAACACAGGGACCAGACCCAGACGTTACAGTTAATGGTAACTGAGTGGAGTGTGCGGATGGCTAAGGCCAGGCTACTACTGTATACAGAAGTGCACTAAGAATATATATGGCTCATCCTGCCTCGTATGGACCAATGGCTCATATGTGTTTGTTATTATTGTAGTTCTTGTATTTAAACCAGGCGTCTCCAACCTGTAGGATTTAGAATTTACCACAAGATCTTGAATGATTCACTTTTGAGTCAGTACGTATCTTTTATAGGTATAAATATTGGGCTATACAGTATCATGGTATTTTGTACATCTGTTTTTTTATGCTTTGTCATAATTATTGCATAGATTTGTTTTATGACCGCAAAAAGGAGTAGCTCTCTGCCTCTTCTGTTGTATGAAAGTAGCTCTCAGATTGAAAAAGGTTGGAAACCCCTGATTTAAACAGTTTGATTCTTTGACCTGTTTTTGAGGAATCTACAACCTGGACGACTGCTGTTGTATTTTAGGCCTATGCAAAAAAAAAAAAAAAAAAAAAATATATATATATATATATATATATATATATATATATATATACATACATTGAATTAATAAACATAATTCTAGACTTTTAGGGGCACCTCTTTATAAGCAGCACAAGCCAAATTTGCAAAGATAGCACATTTTGTCCAAATATAGGCCACACCTGAATAAAAGCCGCACCTGAATATAAGCTGCAGGTTTTCATGTTGAACTGTAGCAGATAGAGACAGTTTTGACCGGTCACAGCAGAGTTTAATGACAAGATGTTACTACTCATTCAGCTTCATCTATTTTGACAATAAACAAGTGTCCTACAGCTACTAAACCCACCTATACGACAATAAAAATGCACATATTAGCCGCATCGCTATATAAGCCGCAGGTTTAAAAATGCTAGACATAAGTAGCGGCTTAAAGGTCCGAAATTGCGGTATTTATTTGAATGTCTTGTATGATAGTGTCTCTGTTGAGTTGCCTTATGTATGAGCTGTGCTATAAATGTAAACTTGCCTCCCCACAGCTAAAGTAGTGGAGCTGGAAGACAATATTCGGGAAGTCCATCAACACAGCAAAGACAACCGCAAGGAGCTGGGGAGACTCGAAGGTACGATTTTTGTTGTTTTTGACATTCTGTTTATTGGGTTTTCACAAATGCATACAGTTTGGCAATCCTACGGAAAGTACAGAACACGCAAATGTGCAGTATTAGATGTATATTTTCTGTTAGATATATATATGTGTTGCGTTATGGACTATAGTAAGAACACATGCAGACAATTAAAGTGGATTTATGTGGACGTACACATACAATAAAATAAAAAAAAATGTAGTTCAAGTTGCCATTTTAAACAGACTAATGGATGCCCTTGTCCTGGTAAATGTATCTTCTCGACCTTGTAATCAAAGGTAAGTTTTGAATGTATTTTTCAAAGTTTGACTGAGAACGTGTTGAGAAGTTAATGATGGGTTTATTATAAGTTCTGTGGAAATGTTGGAGGCCGACGATGAGGAAGCTGCGTGATAAAACATGTCAGACCTCACTCAATTCTCTCACATGCAAATTCACAGGATGTAAACTATAATTATTGTTTAAGCATGGACTTGTTCCAGACCTGGCAACACACAATAGTTTTCTTATTGAGAGTTTCTGCATATGGAGCATCTGTGGGATATACAAAAATAACTACTCAAAAAGCACATTTGTGTCTGACTGTTTAATTTAAAACATTTGAACTGTATGGATTAATCATATAGCTGTGACCATACTTGCAGGTCAAAGCCAAATGTGGTCAGACCTCTGGAGCTAAGCAGTACAAAGCTTGGTTAGTACTGTGATGGGAGACCTCTGGGAACACCATGTGCCACAGTGGGACGGCTGGGGCTGTAAAGGGCTAAACTGTTGTTGTGTCCTTAAGCAAGATACTTCACCCACATTGTCTAGAATTAGTTTTACTGTGTGTGTGAATGGTTGGTGGTGGAAGGGGCCGATGGCACAGACTGGTTGCCTCGCTTCTGTCAGTGCGTCCCAGGGCAGCTGTGGCTTCAGTAGTACTAGTTTATCACCACCGTGTATGGAGTGAAAGGGACATGTGAAGAGTCTTTGAGTGTCCAAAAAAGTGCTTTATAAAACTGATGTGTTGCAAGATACAAGAATTTATTTGCCATTTGCAGTAAAACCACATTGGAAAAACTGTGCAAGACTACCCCAGTGTGCATCAGACAGAGAAGACGGCACACACCAGCTCATGCCAGCCACGCCGCCATCTTTGTGTTATTATATCATACGTGTTATTACTACAGCTGTTTCTTGAGTTTTAAATAGTCTTTGTGTGCGTCAGGCTGTCAGAAAGGCCGCCGCGTGGGCTACAAGTGCTACCTGGTCTACAACACTAAAGAGGACTACGCCGGAGCCTCCAGGAAGTGTCTGGAGCGAGGCGGGCGGATGGCCATGCCGCGGGACCGCAAGGAGCAGGAGGCGCTGGCCGACTACGTCAAGACCTTCTTCCACCCCGGGAACTGGCCGGTCTGGCTGGGCATCAACGACCTGCGCTCCGAGGGCACGTACGTGTTCGACGACGGCACCGGAGTCTCCTACTTCCAATGGCGCCGGCACTTCCTGTCCAGCCAGCCCGACGGCGGCAAGAGGGAGAACTGTGTGTCCATGTCCTCGGACGACGGGGACTGGTGGGACCACTACTGCGACCGCTCCATGAACTATCTGTGCGAGTTTGACGACAGGGTGGGCCTCTGAGCACATGGTCCGGATATTTGATAGATCCATTTCAATAAAACTAAAGTACATGCTAACACTTTAGGTTAGCCCTCACTACTAGTACTAATTAGTGCACCCCAGCCCTAACCCACAAGGGAAAGTCAGTTACCAGTTAGTTACAATAAGTGTTGCATAAGGACTAATAAATGCTGTAAAAATTCCAATTAAGATAAGACAAACCCACAGTGGGAGAATTTCAATGTCAGCGCTGCAAACATTACAGCAGAATAAAAGGAGAAAATGAGAGACTCAGGTTTCACACGTCAAACAGGATCTATTACTTAAACTAATAGATAATAATATAACTGAGATAATAAAATAGTAAAATAATACAATAATAATATAAAAGTCTGCAGCTATAATTGCACTTGGTTCCAAGATAAGTCACTGGTGTGATAATAGTAATAATAGCAACAGGTAACCATATATACACTATACACTAAGTATATACAGTGCCTTGCAAAATTATTCGGCCCCCTTGAACCTTTCGCCACATTTCAGGCTTCAAACATAAAGATATAAAATGTTAATTTTTTGTCATGAATCAACAACAAGTGGGACACAATTGTGAAGTGGAACGAAATTCATTGGATAATTTAAACTTTTTTAACAAATAAAAAACTGAAAAGTGGGGCGTGCAATATTATTCGGCCCCTTTACTTTCAGTGCAGCAAACTCACTCCAGAAGTTCAGTGAGGATCTTTGAATGATCCAATGTTGTCCTAAATGACTGATGATGATAAATAGAATGCACCTGTGTGTAATCAAGTCTCCGTATAAATGCACCTGCTCTTTGATAGTCTCAGGGTTCTGTTTAAAGCGCAGAGAGAACCATGAAGACAAAGGAACACACCAGGCAGGTCCGAGATACTGTTGTGGAGAAGTTTAAAGCCGGATTTGGATACAAAAAGATTTCCCAATCTTTAAACATCTCAAGGAGCACTGTGCAAGCAATTATATTGAAATGGAAGGAGTATCAGACCACTGCAAATCTACCAAGACCCGGCCGTCCCTCCAAACTTTCATCTCAAACAAAGAGAAGACTGATCAAAGATGCAGCCAAGAGGCCCATGATCACTCTGGATGAACTGCAGATAACTACAGCTGAGGTAGGAGAGTCTGTCCATAGGACAACAATCAGTCGTTCACTGCACAAATCTGGCCTTTATGAAAGAGTGGCAAGAAGAAAGCCATTTCTCAAAGATATCCATAAAAAGTCTCGTTTAAAGTTTGCCAAAAGCCACCTGGGAGACACACCAAACATGTGGAAGAAGGTGCTCTGGTCAGATGAAACCAAAATCGAACTTTTTGGCCACAATGCAAAACGATATGTTTGGCGTAAAAGCAACACAGCTCATCACCCTGAACACACCATCCCCACCTCAGCTGTAGTTATCTGCAGTTCATCCAGAGTGATCATGGGCCTCTTGTCTGCATCTCTGATCAGTCTTCTCCTTGTTTGAGATGAAAGTTTGGAGGGACGGCCGGGTCTTGGTAGATTCGCAGTGGTCTGATACTCCTTCCATTTCAATATAATTGCTTGCACAGTGCTCCTTGAGATGTTTAAAGCTTGGGAAATCTTTTTGTATCCAAATCCGGCTTTAAACTTCTCCACAACAGTATCTCGGACCTGCCTGGTGTGTTCCTTTGTCTTCATGGTTCTCTCTGCGCTTTAAACAGAACCCTGAGACTATCAAAGAGCAGGTGCATTTATACGGAGACTTGATTACACACAGGTGCATTCTATTTATCATCATCAGTCATTTAGGACACCATTGGATCATTCAAAGATCCTCACTGAACTTCTGGAGTAAGTTTGCTGCACTGAAAGTAAAGGGGCCGAATAATATTGCACGCCCCACTTTTCAGTTTTTTATTTGTTAAAAAAGTTTAAATTATCCAATAAATTTCGTTCCACTTCACGATTGTGTCCCACTTGATGTTGATTCATGAGAAAAATTTTTAAAAAAAAATCTTTATGTTTGAAGCCTGAAATGTGGCGAAATGTTGAAAGGTTGAAGGGGGCCGAATACCTTCGCAAGGCACTGTATGTACCTTTCTCCTGTGTGAGATTAATAAAGTATATTTAGTCTTATCTTATACACTAATTAGCCGTTAATTAGTGAGGGCTAAATTAAAGTGCGACCGTACATAGACCTTTGTACTCATATGTCAAATAATCTACTCAGATAATTGGCTTTGCAATACCAACGTGTGTGTGTGTGTGTGCGGATATGTGTATATGTGTGTGTGTGTCTGTGAATGAGGTGGTCGCGGGGTCGACGGCACAAACTGGTTACCTTGTTTCTGTCAGTGTGCCCCAGGGCAGCTGTGGCTACAGTAGTAGTTGACCACCACCGTGTATGGAGTGAATGAATAATGCCATGAGAAGTGTCCAAACAAGCGCTGGATAAAACCAATGCGTTATTATCAAAACATCACAGAAAAGGTTTTGTTAAAGCTGTTTTCATGTGGGTTTGGTCTAAATCCTTTTACATTAAAGACACGCAGCTTCAAAACACGACAAAAGCAAATCCCAAAATCCTGTTACAGCTGTTTGGATCAGCATTATTTATTATTTCAAATACAAAAATACATTGTTGACATGTTTCTTGTAAGAGGTTTGTGTCTGACTGGATTGATGTGATGCAGTATAAATGTATAGTATATGGGTTATAACTGTATTTGAAAGAATGAAATGTATATGTGTTTCCTTTGCCACAGAGAGATAGACATTCAGAGCATCAGTTGGGTTACAGCCTGATTTTGTCCAATAATAATAAGAAAATAAAAATCCCAGTTGGTAAAAAGCAGCATTTTTCTTCGTTTTCTCTTTTTCAGAAGAAACACAAAACACAGTGATTTTATTCATATAAATAATCTTCACGTTATATTAGAAATCCTTCAAGTAATTATACAAATGTTAAAGCTGTCCTACATTAGTGAACTACAGGGCAGGACAACATCTACAAATATTCCCCACACCATGGATTTAAAGTTGAATTTAATACAAACAGCTAATTACGCATTAAATCTTAAATATCTATCTCACAAATATTGATTGATTGATATTTAGGTGATCCCAGTGAAACCCAAAATCTACAGCCATTTTGCTCTGTTTTCTTTTTCTTATAATTTGAACATTTAGAATCAACTAAGAAATCATACAGTCTGTGATCCCGGTCCGCCCCAAAATGGATTTCCTTTGCCGGTCTAAAACCAGTCTCCCCAAATATCTCTTGTAATACTGGTGCTCTAAAGCCTTGGTCAATTACTTTAGATAAATAAACATGTGACTGCAGGAGTATTTAAAACGTTGGGTTAAAACAGAGACAGAGAGAAAAGGCAGTTGTGTTTGCAGCAGTTTTACATCAGCCTCTTCCTCTTCATGTCGATGAGTGCGAGGAGAGGCTTCATCAAAGAGAGCAAAACGAGCGGCCCCGGTCACACTGTCTCTGTTTTTGGTTCAAGTTTAGTCTGCGGCCTTCAATATGTCCTCTACAGAAGGACGGTCCAGCGGCGTTTTGGAGGCGTGACTCAGAATCACCTTCCCGGTCTCGTCGATCAGAAAGTCTCCTCCCATCTGCGACAAGAGAAGCCCATGGCAACACTCGATGGGTGAAGATAGACATGACTTCTGTCCCTAAAGCTCATTCTGTTCACTATAATATAATAATCTATGTCTCCTGCGGCTCTTTGTTAAATATATGGTTCATATGAAATGTGTAAATTGGTTTAAAATTATGTTTGAAAAGAAACTAGTTGAATAGCTTCTCATTAAATTCACTTTTGCCACAAAGTCACGCCCTTTTAACAGACGCTCACATGAAACCTGTCTCCTCACGGACAAGTGGCCACCTGCGGTACTGCAGCTTTAATCCACACGGGCTGTAAGGAGATTGTCCTCATACACAACAGAGCTGAAGCAGAAGAATGATCATGGGTGTGTCTCTCTGTCTGGTCTCCGTCTGGTGTCTCTCTCCGCTCTCTCTCTGGTCTCTCTCTGGTCTCTCTCTGGTCTCTCTCTGGTCTCTCTCTGGTCTCTCTCTGGTCTCTCTCTGCTCTCTCTCTGCTCTCTCTCTGCTCTCTCTCTGCTCTCTCTCTGCTCTCTCTCTGCTCTCTCTCTGCTCTCTCTCTGCTCTCTCTCTGCTCTCTCTCTGCTCTCTCTCTGCTCTCTCTGCTGTGTTATGATTGGTCAGAACGCTCACATGCTACTCTGGTCTTGCAGAAGTGCACCAGACCTGAAGAACCAGAGCTGGCCAGAAAGTTCCACAAATGTATAAAAATAAAAGCCCTGCACCAATTCACGGAGAGTTGTGTCACGGTCACTGAGCTTGATACCGAGCTTTTCAATGTACGTCAAAAGGAGCCAGAGCAAAACATTGTCCGTGAGAACTTCCCTATTGGGCTTCGTTAAGCTGGGACATTATCCATCTATATACAGTCTATGATCGGACCATAAGTGACCTGATAGAGATCCTCCAGAAGTCGAGGAGGTATTTCTGGGAAGTCTCTGTCCACAGCCCCGAACTCCGAGTAGGAAAGTAGGCAGCCGAACCTCATCACCTTAGAGTAGGACGAAACCAGACCGAAGCTTCTGTAGATCTGCGGCAAAATGTAACCCGTTCAGAACCAGAACTGAGACAAACTCTTCATGTGAGTCGCTTACACTTCTCTGTTGATCGAGCAACATGGGCAATGTGCACCCGGTCTGCTCCAACCAGATCTGGGCTCCTTCCAGAACACTGAAGGAGACGACCAGGACCCGCACTGACCGCGCCTCAAGGAGAGCCTGCGGACAACGCTCTGGTCAGGAACTACAGATTTAGTGTAGGACATAACACAATCATTCCCACACCAGAGAGAGACCAGAGAGAGACCAGAGCCAAAAGCAGAGACCGGAGAGAGACCGGAGAGAGACCGGAGAGAGACCAGAGAGAGACCAGAGAGAGACCAGAGAGAGACCGGAGAGAGACCGGAGAGAGACCGGAGAGAGACCAGAGAGAGACCAGAGCCAAAAGCAGAGATCGGAGAGAGACCAGAGAGAGAGAGGCCAGAGAAAGAGACACCAGAGAGAGAGACACCAGAGAGAGAGAGAGACCAGAGAGGGAGAGGCCAGAGAGAGAAAGAGACACCAGAGAGAGAAAGAGACACCAGAGAGGGAGCGGCCAGAGACAGAGAAAGGCCAGAGAAAGAGAGGCCAGAGAGAGACACCAGAGAGAGAGAGAGACCAGACATAGAGACACCAGAGAAAGAGAAAGGCCAGAGAAAGAGACACCAGAGAGAGAGACACCAGAGACCAGAGAGAGAGAGAGAGAAAGACCAGAGAAAGAGAGACACCAGAGAGAGAGAGAGAGACCAGAGAGAGACTAAAGAGAGAGCGGCCAGAGAAAGAGAGCGGCCAGAGAAAGAAACAACAGAGAGAAACACTAGAAAGAGACACCAGAGAGTACACCCCAACAAAACAAAAATATCGTATTGCTTCATTTAGTAACTCATGAATACATTTATTGACACATTTATTCCATATGAGAAATAGTTAATTATCGAACCTGCTCGGCCTCCAGCGCGGCCACATGGTCCCGTCACGGCAGTCATCCCACGTGTCGGATCAGGACCAGCAGCTGCTTCTGTCCCGGAACCAGAAACTCACCCAGGGTCACGCTTCTGCAGAAAATAATCGCAGTAGACTAGAAAGAGTGAAGACATAATCCTTCAATGGTATGCACTACGAAACAGAACTGGTTTTAAACTGGATTTAAACATGGTCAGAGAAAAAGCCTGTCTCACATTTTCATTTCCAGATTTTAGATGCATAAATCTGAAATGCTGCTTATGTCACAGATGTACTTTGGTGCGAGGCCCTGGAGAGACTTTTGCACAAGCAGAGCTGATTTAAAGTCTATTCTCTGAGCCCTAGGAGCCAGTGCAGAGACCTGAGAACTGGACTAATGTTATGGTACTTCCTGGTTCTAGTCAGGACTGGATTTCACGTTTACAAACATCTTACTTTGAGGAGCGAGCGTCAATGAGAGCTGTATCCGCGCTCAGGCTCTCCACGCTCATCACCGGTGACTCCTGACCGTTTGAAGCCAGCAGGCTTTGGTCCACATGCTCCAAGAACGCGTCCCATTCGATCTGCACAGCAACACAAACACACACACACACACACAAAGATAATAAAATCGGTGATGAATATGCACTACAGTCTCAATCCTTGTTCTACAGCCTGAGTCCTGGATCTATATTTTGTCCATATGGAGTGGATCCCTCTATCAATATGGACCTCCCGGAACTTTATCACTTTTCTCCTCACTGGGTTTTTATTTTAGTTGTTTGTTGCTGATGCAGGAGTCTAAGAACTGTGACAATCCAGGACATTTAAGGACATACATGGACTGGTAAATTGTAGAATTTATTTATTATTGTTTTCTAGGACCAGGCTGAAGACCAGAGGAGACTGAGCTTTTTCTGTGATAGGGCCAAAGCTTACCTTACCTTTGCACATTAGAACTGCACAATCTCAAGCACTTTAAATCCCTGCTCAAGACGCACCTTTTATCTTTGGCTTTTAATAACAAGTAGAAAAAGACAAGTTTTTGGTTTTTAATTATTGTTTATTTTCTAATGTGTATCTATAGTTCTGCATTTTATGTATTTTTATTTTTTATCCATTTATTTTTCTCGCTGTCTGTTCAGCACTTTGGTAAGCCTGTGTTAAATGTGCTCTACAAATAAAGATTTGATTGATTGATATATTGAAGTCCATGGACATTTATAAACATTTATTAACGTTTCTTTCCATCCCGGACCAACTATGTGTTTGGTATAATGGCTTTTCCTGTGTTCAAACCGTTTGATTATCTGATCTGCTGTTGGTGAATCGACAACCTCCGAGACGACTGCTGTTGAGATAAATTAAATTGAAGTGACAGTTATTAAACAACAGTGATGTACAGACCTCCAGCTGCAGCAGAGCATCCACTTGTTCCCTCACTGCCTCCAGACTGCAGCAGAAAGAGTCCATGAATGTGTTAGGTGGGTCCAGATGTGTACGGTACAGTTAAAGCAAGTGAATATTGTTATAACGTGTCATAATAAAGTTCCAAGTTCACTCACTGGTAAGACTTTTTCCAGAGTTCCTCAGCTTCGCTTTTCTTAGTCACACCGAGGCTAAACATAAGTAACATTAGAAATATGTAGAAAATACACAGATCACATTATTACGTAGTCGTAGTGAGTGGATTGTACTCTCTGAAAAGTGTAGTTCCTCCGGTGATCAGGCCAAACATGGTGGTGATTTTGTAAGGCAGAAATCCCTCCATAGACTCTGAGAACAAAGAGAGCACAGAGAAGGCGATCAGTGTGACCAGGATTACGTTGCTACACCTGCTCACGTCTCGCTCTAACACTTTAAACCATCAGGAGAAAAGAATCATGCTTTGTTCGTTTATAGCACGGTGTTCCAGTCTACAATGTTTCCCAAGAAGTAAAATGATAGCCGCAAACAGCGATGAACAGCCTCAGACTCTGCTGCGAAAGGAAACTGATGCGACCTCATCACAGAGGAACAACTGATAATAAATATGATCAGTGAGTGTATCATTTTTCCATTGAAACACGCAGACACAGACACAGACACAGACACAGACAGACACCTGTTGATGAGCGGTCACACCCTTACTGGAAAATTTTTCATAGAACCAGAATTTTGCCAACATACGCACATTCATTGTCAGTAAAAGAACCTACGCCCTGTGGAGCTTGGCTCTAACAATAACATCATAAAGTAGTATATTTGAAAAAAAAAAGAAAAACAATTATATATATATATATTACTCTCGTTCACAGAGTTATGGAAAAACAGCTTTGAATTAGTTTAAAAGTTCACAAGAAACTGTGTCTTTCACACGGAGAGGTCGGTGGTGTTTATCACTGACTTTCCTCAGAGTTTGTGTCCTTTCATTTACAGACACATTATTATTATAGATGATCGTCAGAACTTCATGAGAACACGCATTTTAAGAAACTACAAGTACAAATACCAGGCACCAGTGCTGGTAAACAGCAGGTCTTTCCACATGTTAGTAATCAATAATAAATGATCAATCACCTGCTGCTTCTTCTTTGGCTTTCTGCAGCAGAACTGTGCCCAGACTGACGAGCAGCGACAGGCCCCGGAGGAGAGTGTCCTCCTCCTCGGTCAGAGCCGCCGCCATGTCCCGGGACCCTGCGGTAGGACTGCGGTAGTACTGCGGTAGTACTGCTGTAGTACTGGTTACTACTACACTGTAGTACTGTCTGTGGCTTCTGTGCGGGGCGGCAGCACGTGGATAGGGAGCCTGGACACGTGACGCAGATCACGTGACAGGACACAGGCGTTATTGTGTTGAGATTGTATCATGGATCTGCATCTTTCTGTTAGTGACTGCTCTGTGAAAGGCACTATATAGACTCTAATATAGTATATTATAGAGAGTAAAGGAGGCACATGCCAGACCTTTTATTCATGTTTTTAGTGGTAGGGGAAATCGGAGGAAACCTACGCAGACACGGGGAGAACATGCAAACTCTATTAAAACTCGATTCAAACCCAGGACCTTCTTGCTGAGAAGTGAGGGTGCCATCCACTCAGCCACCGTGCCGCACTATTTATTTATAATCTTGATCTTTGTACTAAACATTTCCCAAAAGCGGATCCACTGTGGTCCAGTCCGTGGCTCTCCTGCAGGTTGTGAGCAGAGGGCGGACGGCGCAGACTGACAGCCGCGCACTCAGGGCAGTTGTGTTTAACACCAATAAATGAGACATTTGGTGAAATTCAATGCACACATTTTTTGCATTTAGCCTTAAAATATCAATATTTATTGTGGGGGGGGAAAATCAAACAGTTTTTCTTGAGGTCATTTTGTTTATTGAGTAAACATGACATTTGGTCATCCGTCACTCAGAAATCTCTTGGAAGTTATTCTCTAACACTTGGGCAATGCACTTCACATCCAAACAGCTGCAAACTTAAATCCAGACAACCCAAGAAATATCCATTTTAAACCAGATTTGATCATTGAAAACGTGGAATTAAAATGGTTTAAAAATTACCAACATATAGAAGCCCTTTTTATGCCTTTGTTTATGGCCTAAAAGTGTTATTAACTTGGGTTTTTGTGATCCCTTCTTCTCATGACCGAACCTAAACTTCACTTCCAGTCCCACACCATGACACACGCTTTGAAAAAAACAATAAAATCTTCAAGTATTGAAAGTCGTCTCGGGTCCAGACTGAAAGCTGAGGCCGAACATAAAGAGTCTAAAAACAATATCACTGCGGCCCGACAGTTCAATGAATCCTGTTGTAAATTATTATCGTTTTTATGAGACAGATGCTTGAAATGAACTGTGCTTTTGAGGCAGAGTCGAGGCCGGAGGCTGGACGTGCTCGCTCCTGAATAACTTAAAACATATTTTTAATCATTGGAGTAATTTTAAAGACTGTGGTAATATTTGAAATCGAATCATTTGAATGTAGTAGACCATAGTGTGTGTGTGTGTGTGTGTGGGGGGGATGATTCTGATCAGTATCGCGATATTTTACACACGCAATTAAAATCGATACAGTAGAGTATGATATTTAATTCAAGAATTATCTGTATCACTTTTGTTGCTTTCTCTTAGTTTACTCTGGTATTTTACATCTGAGGTTTATGTTCCTCTGTGATGTCTGCTTATAGTGACGCACTCTGTTGTATATCGCAGAATCGAATCGAACACTTACTGTATCGCGATAAGTTGAAAAATTGCAATAATATTGAATTGTGACCCAAATATTGCAATACTATAGAATCGTCAAGTTTTTGCCAATTCCCACCACCAGGAGACCATAGACGTAGTGAGCTCTGGGACTCGTGCAGGAGGAGCATGTCCGGGTGGTCGAGTGTTTTGTCTTCGGACTCGTACAGTTCGGTGCAGTGCTAAGATTTCTTTGGACAGTGCGAGGACGAGTCTGTGTTGAGGACTTCGATCATGGTTCTGCTCGAGGCGAAGGTCTCTGCTACAGACGGAAGACTCTGATACCAGCCCGGCAAACTGGAAACAGGAGAAAATGTGCTGCATGTCAGGAGGGTGGTCTTAAGTGGTCTTAAGTGGTCTTGGGTAGTCTTGGGTAGTCTTGGGTGGTCTTGGGTAGTCTTGGGTAGTCTTGGGTAGTCTTGGGTGGTCTTGGGTAGTCTTGGGTATTCTTGGGTAGTCTTGGGTAGTCTTGGGTAGTCTTGGGTAGTCTTGGGTAGTCTTGGGTAGTCTTGGGTAGTCTTGGGTAGTCTTGGGTGGTCTTGGGTAGTCTTGGGTAGTGTGGAATGACTGACGATGATGAAAAATACCTTTTGAGGTTCATCCACATCTTTGAGGTTTTGCTGAAGCTGCTGGGGTTGGATGTGGTCATGGCTTCAAAGTCCACGAGCTGGATTCAGATTAGAAATAGATTCAATACTTTCTATTTTTTCTGAACATATTTATTCTCAAACTAGAAAGAGTCATTATATTAATATTGAAACGGATTGTTTCACTATCAGACCCTCTGCTATGGAGGACCAAAACTGTCAAAATAATAAATAAATAAATGTCACAATCTGCAAATAATTATTGATATAATTTAATAAAAATATATTATTTTACAAAATATTTTGGTTCAAATCAATTTATAAAGCTTTATTTTCTGTCTGCATTTATTAATCTCCTTGTTCATTCAAAGGTTAAGATTTAAAAAATATATTATATATTATACATTTTATTTCTTACCTGCAGTTTTTTGCCCAAAGATATAATAAATTCCCTTTATTTACTTTCTGCATGTATTTATTTTCTCCATATCTTGAATATTCACTTTTTTATTGATTTTCTGTTTTATTATTTTACGACGCATTATTCTTTCCTCGTGTCATGTAAACATACAAACAAAACAAACACAACAGTTTTCCTTTGCACCATATTCACCTCTGGTAAGTAAGTAAGTAAGCTTTATTTATATACCGCCTTTTCACTGCACATCGGAGTCTCAAAGCGGTTTACAATTGTTGGGTGGGGGTGCCAGTACAGGAGGCACATGCCATACCTATTGTACATATTTTTAGTGGTAGGGGAAACCGGAGCACCCGGAGGAAACCTACGCAGACACAGGGAGAACATGCAAACTCCACTCCACTCTGGTTTCAGGGTCTGGTCTACCCATGGACTTATGAGGCCTACTGTACCATAGACTGTAGGTCTACCTGGCTTAAGCCTCGTGGCTCTGTAGGTCCCGGCCACTGAGCAGGGACCTACAGAGACCTTCTCACTGTGGGTCTCGCTGCAGTTAAATGATACTACAATATTTCTTTAAAATCTTGAACAAGGAAATAAATAAATGCAGACAGAAAATAATAAAGCTGTAGTTTTGAACCAAAAAACGTTGTGGTTTTTATTTAATCTCATCATTTGTAGCTTTGTATTAATAAATATGTTCAGATTTATTCACTTATTAATGTATTAAATGATGTTGAGAGTTGTGGTCCTCCGTACTGCAGCCCTGATGTTTTTGGGTTATAAATGATTTAATAAAGAGTCTGATCTCTCACCTTTCCTTTGGGGATCTTTCCTGTGACCTCTTTGCCGCTGGCCATGAGCGCCCCCATCACCACAGAGTACGCAACCACACTGAGAACACACACACTTTTACAGACACACTACCTCATCTCGGTCTTAATAAACAATCGATGAGCAATAACACAGTAGCGGGAAACACAAAGAATAATAATACAGAACCACTAAAAAAACAGTTTAGGTTCAGTCTGAGCTTTCCGTCATTTTAGATCCATTTACAATGATTTATACTGTAAAGAAGAACCACCGCTTTCTCGTGGTTCTTCTGAAAGAAAAGTACCTGTACCTGATGTATTCCTTGTTAACAGCCCTTTATGTTAACAACTAATCTCATCTAACATCTCATCGTCTTTCAATGTAAGCACAAAAACTCAACTTAAGACAAAATAAAATAAAATAAATAAAATTCATTCATCTGCTACTGCGTTTACCTCGTCGTTCCATCGTCGTTTGATCTAATTAAAGTGGGCTTATTTGAGTTTTCCGGGTTTTCACTAGAGCCACATGAGCGTACTCAAACACGGGACTCACCTGGATCCTCTGGAGAGGGGCATGAGGTTACAGAAGTAGTACACCAACGACAGGATGAGATTACACACGGCATCAGCGTCCTGTGCAAACAAACAAAAGAATCAGTGTCACTCACGTAAATACTAAAACATGTAGAAGTTTAGTAAGGCTCATCTTGTCTTCTTAGTGGATTCAGTTGTTTGGTCGTAGTGAGTCACTTTTACAAACTCAAAAGAACTATTGGCAGATAACAAACGAGGAAATTACTTTGTCTCTCTGTAACTTGAAGGGTTGAACACATTTCAACAAATTCAACCCCTATATTTCTTACAATCAATTTCTCAGAATTTAAATCATTGTGAATCTGCTCTTTCATTTGGAGCCGTATCCAGTCAACACGGAACAACATTTAAAAAATATATATATATATATTACAGAGGAAAACCCATTTTTGTCAACTACGAATCATACTTATTTCTAAAATCTACATTCAATATGCATTTAGAGATGTTTTGTGGCAATACAAGATCCCAGTTAAAGATGCTGTAAGTGTGATGTTGTTAGCTTAGCCGTAGCACCGACTGGAAACCACTCCCCCCCCTCGCCTCTCCACCAAACCACACATCCAGCATTTTCTTTTCTTTGTCACAACATGGAGAGTGGGCGGCAAACGTGAAATTGGCATTTTCTGTTCAGTCATTTTAGGTTTTAGAAAACCCGATAACTCAGGTGCGCAAGAAAGAGGAAGGGGGTGAAGGGGGTAAACACATCCTATTGGTTCGTTGGGTATGAACGAATCCCATTGGTTTGTTGGGTATGAACGAATCCCATTGGTTCGTTGGGTATGAACGAATCCCATTGGTTCGTTGGGTATGAACGAATCCTGTTGGTTCATTTTTATCGGTCCGCTCCAAAATATTTGTTATTAATTTTCGCATGTGGTCAATTCCATTACTATTTGAAAACACATGATAAATTGATACTTTTAGGGTTTAGGGACGTTTTCCCACAATATTTATAAAAATGCGTCTGGGAAAAATCACTGACTGCATTTTTAATCAAACTTCCATCCATCCATTTTCTTCCCTTTAATCCATTTCTGGGTCAGGGGGGTGGCAGTCAGAGATGCCACCTAAGTCTCACAGCACCAGCCCCTCACTGACCCTCTGCAGGTGGTGAGTCGCTCTCTGAGTGTGAGCATAGCCTTGATCTTTCAGTGGGGGCTTTGGGCAAAGTGGGGTTAGGTGTCTTGCCCAAGGACACAACGACAGCAGTCATCAGTGGGAGTCGGTGGAGAAGGTGCAGAGGTGGGAATTGAACCCACGACCTTCTGGCCTTAAGGCCAATGCTCTACCAACTGAGCTGCTGTCGCCTAAACTTAAACTTAATATTACTTATTGTGGGTCATTATCAAAACGTAACCATGGCGATACACAAAGAACCACTGCAGTGTCGTCTGCATATAACAAGCAGTCTTTGGTGATTTTTGCACATTTTTGGCAGTTTAATAAACCCAGGTATGAGACAGGATAGGTCATACATGAACATAATAAAGTAGGGGCTAGAGTGGTTCCTTGGGGTACTCCTGGATTCTACTTTTATACGATACTGTATATAAAATATGTCAGCATATTTCCAGAGCTCTGTATACACTTTTGAGCCTTAAAGACCTTATGACGGGTTTGATTTATTTAGAAATACAGTTTTAATACCATTTTATATTATTCATTCATTCATTCAATACTTTATTTCGGACACAAGAATAAAAGGTCCATATTAAAAGACATATAACAACAAGAAAAACAAAAAGACACATTAAAAAAAAAAAAAAACAAGTACAAGTTAAAGGATAAGTCATTTCCTGTATAGGCTCTGAAGCCAGTGAGTCCATATACTGGAGAAATAACGCACTGAACTCAGACCTGGGTTGGTCAATACAGCAATGATGCTGTTGACAGAGTGGGACATTCTGCACATGCACCTGTACATGAGATTGCGCAGTACAGCAGGACAAGTGGGCACACCTGCATTTACAAACATGGCACTGGCACTGCTCCAACGTGGAACCCTCAGCAGCATCCGCATGGCATCATTGTATGCCACAGATAGTTTTTGCAGGCTGCTCTTTTTATAGCACCTCCACAGATGGGCTGTGTACATGGGAGTGCAATATGCCCGAAAGAGTCTTATCTTGACAGGTGGTGAGCACATACCAAACCTGCGGATCAGCATGTTGGCCTGGCCATAGAGCATGCGACATTGCCTGTAGATGTCCCTGTCGTCTGATAAGTCAGCAGACATGTAATGCCCCAGGTATTTACATTCATCGGACACACTCATTCTGTTGCCCGACAGAATGAAAACAGGGAACGACAGCTTGGAGTCCCCCCTGCTCCGTACTATCATGACAGTGCTTTTCTTTGCGTTGTACTTTATGTCAAAGTCTGTTCCATACTGGGAGCACACATGCAGCAGCTCTTGTAGCCCAGCACTATACGGACTAAAAATTGCAAGGTCGTCCGCATACATTATGTGGTTAATTACACTGTTGCCGACCCGACAGCCAGTCCCACAGTCATTTAAAAGTCTTGACAGATCGTCCATATACAGATTGAATAAAAAGGGAGACAAAATGCTGCCCTGTCTCACTCCATTAGACACACAGAAAGGTGCTGATAAACAATTTCCCCATTTAACAAACATTGACTGTTGGGAGTACCAGAAAGCCAAAATTCTTACTAGGCATTTCGGAACACCTCTCATGTACATCTTAGAGAACAGTTTTTCATGATTTACATAATCAAAAGCCTTTGAGGCATCAATAAAGCACATAAAGATTGTGGTATCGTGTCTATAGTAAAGATCACAGATTTCTTTCAGAGCAAAAATACACATGTCCGTTCCATGTTTAGGTTTGAAACCAAACTGATTATCAGACGTAAGTATGAACTCCTCCATCTTATTCAGAATAGCCCGCTCCAGTACCTTGGATAAGGTGCTGGCCAGAGCTATGGGCCTGTAGTTGTCTCTACTATTAATTTTTGCACTTTTATCTTTTAAGATTGGGACTAAGATGACTGTCAGTAATGAATCCGGTAAGACTCCATGTATTAAAAATCCTGTAAAACAAATAGCCAGCAGAGGAAACAGTTTCAGACTAGCGTATTTTAAATGCTCAGCTGAAACCCTGTCTGCACCACAGGCCTTATTTTTATCCAGCTTCATCACAATCTCATGGACTTCTTGAGGAGAGATAATAACATCTTCATTGTTATCAATATTGCCAACAGTAAAATAGTTACTTTTGACTGCATTAAAAATATCATAGTAATGTTTCTGCCACAGCTCAGTAATCTGCTCTGTTCCATATACACCATTGATATGTGTTGGTAAAGACAGTTTACTGCTATTCATTCTTTTTATTTCTCTCCAGAAATCTGTGGGACTATTGCTTTGTAGTTTCCTTGCCAAGGAGTCTGCCTTGAGGCTATTCTCTCTCCTTCTAATAAATCGAAGGGCATATTTAAAGTTTGCATTTGCTTTCTTCATATACTCAAATACAGGACCACTCTTGGGTCTGTCAGATGCCACCCAAGCTTTAAAAGCCCTTCTAGCCTCAGCATGTATCTCCTCGACATACTCGTTCCAGCCTGGTTTAGCTTTAAAGGTGTTGGTCTTATATAGAGGTTGACTCGACACAAGAAGAGAGTCCACAATCTTGTCATACAGAGAGCATAAATCAGCTCTGTGTTGCATATTCTGACAATTAACCTCATTGCAGGTTACAGAGTTTTTAGGCAGCTCAATTTTACTTAACATTAATTCAGACCTAGTACAATATATGCAAATGTCCTCTTTAGTCAAGGTGGACCACTTAATTTTCCTTACATGTGTTTCGTTGCTCATACATACAAGAGATGGCACTTTGCCCATATTTACAGAAAAAGAAAAGGGCACATGATCAAAAGTGGCAAGTTCATAGTTAATCCTAAAAGACACAATGGAGTTATGAGCATCAGTAGTACACACACAGTGGTCGAGCCAGGAGGCGGTGTGCCATGCCTCACTAGTGTAAGTGTAGCTGTCGCTGGGCAAGAAAATATTACTGGAAAGACAGAGGCCATTATCAGAGCAGAAGTGCTTTAAATGATTTGCAAACAGGGAACGCTGATCAGAAATGTCTAGAGGTGCAACGGTTCATCACTGATCCGTGATCCGTTCGGTTCAACGTCTTCGGTTCGGTACAGACGTGATCCGCGGTTTGATTTATGAAAAAAAAGTGCGCACGTTATTCAGTCCACACACAGCGCGGTCATTGCGAGCGGAGGAACGGAGATGCTTGAAAGCCCTGCGTCATTTAAATCCCCAGTATGAGAGCATTTTGGCTTCACTGTAACTACACTGATAATTAATATTCGACAAAACTGTCACGATGTGTAAGCACTGTGGCACAAGAAAGACATGAGTGAAAAAAGCGTCTCAACGACCGCTTATTGTCGCGGCATTTAAGCAGCTCCTTTACGCACAGTCAGACCGGGCTAAAGTCAACTCTCCCGCGCATCCTCAGCTGCGCTCACGACTGACGCTTGGACGTCCCGCGGAACCTATAATAGATCCATGAACGGAACCGCTCACTTCATCACCGCAGACTGGGAGATGAAAAGTCTGGTGCTGCAGACACGCCCCCTCTACGACAGTCACACAGTCACACAGCGCAGGTACTGACACAAGCAGCGGAGGAATGGAAGACAAAGGCCCAGTACTAATATTCCAGTCACAACTGATAATGCCAAAAATTAAATAAATGCAGTGAATGAGGCTGGGCCCAGAATGGAGCGCCTCCTCGGGAGAATCAGGAAGGTGGTGTAATATATGAGAGTAAATATCCTCATAAAGTGCCTTCTTATGTTGCACTTTGTGTTGTTTTTCATTAATTATGTTAAATAGACATAATTGGATGGATGGAATATTCCATCCATCCATCCATCCATCCATTTCCTTCCCCTTAATTCATTTCTAGGTCAGGGGGGGCAGTCAGAGCAGGTGCCGAGTCCACATGAGCTGTGTTTATTAAAAAGACAAAACTTTTTTTTTGAAAAATGAACCGAAAAATGAACCGAACCGTGGCCTCTGAACCGAGGTACGAACCGAACCGTGATTTTTTCAAACCGTTGCACCCCTAGAAATGTCAGCGTTAAAGTCCCCCACAATGAAAACATTGCTAGATGGATTGTCTTGAATATAAGCCATAATAAACTTCACAGCCCTTGGTGACGTCAGAGTGGGTACGTTTCAACGCTGTAAGTTGTTTACAATATGGTATTCGTTCTTTTTTCGCGGATATTCAAGATGACAAGGCCGTGTACAGCGAGTCTGACATAAATACTAGAATATAACATTTTGTTGTCACTGAGATAGTCCAGTGGTTGTGTCGATGGACTGCCAATCCAGATACTGGGGTTCAAATCCCACCTCGGACACTTTTTCACTCTCCTTACGGCAATTTATGTGTAGTGAGCAATTGTCACCTGTAGAGGGCAGTATTGTGTTGGGCATCAGTGGAGAGAAGAGAGAAAAGGCAGTCCTGTGGCATAGATCCATGGTTTTCAATGCATGGGCGTAACCCGCTATGACGTCACACACAGGTTAGAGCATAGACAGCTTAAATTCATGAAAAACACGTTCTTTTAATAAAATACAGGATTTTTTTTGCCGGAATCTCTTTCAAATCAACATTGTCATGCAATTTTGATATCCACTATTTTTTTTAAAAAAAACCCGTCATAAGGTCTTTAAACTACCATGCTTTTTGCAAGCTCCCAGATATTTATGTTGAACATCAAAAAGAATTGTAAATACATGACATCGATACAGGAGATAAAACGCTCATAAAAACAGGCATAAAAACCAGACTCTGAATCCGTCTGGCGCATTCTCCTCTTAATGAAAAGAGAAAAAAAGCTGAAAAATGGTTGTTTGAGCAGCTGTTTTCAGTCTGTCTCGTCCTGTGCTTCTGGTGCTTTTGATTAAGTGAGGAATGTGGTGCTCAGGTCCGGAGCTTACCCCCAGCTCCGTGGACAGCATCAGGGCTTTCCCCTTCGCCGTCAGGTCTTTGTAGATGGACTCGATCTCAGACTGGTACTGCTGCGTCCGCTCCTCCGTGGTCTGCGTCTCCACCGAGAATAACATGTTCCCCACTCTGCCAATGCAAAACCAGAAATTTCTATGTTGCAGCGCACATACAGGACAGTAGTAGGAGCACACTGGGACAAAAATATACAATATAAGAAGCTGCTATGTTTCTTTGCTAGCTGTGAATCAATATCTATATCCATCTGTCTATATCTATATGTATCTTGTGTAAAGTTATGAACATAAAGGGCAGAATGATAAGTAGATAAAGTAAGATTCTGTGGATATTGCAGTATTTACTAAAAAACGCAGTCTTCCTGAAAATGTGAGACAGGCTTCTACTCTGACCGACCTGCGACAGACTCTTTGGATATTTTCAAATCCCATCTCAAAACCTACCTTTTTAAACTGGCTTATTCCTTGTAATTTAATCATGTTTTATATTCTGTACTTTTAATAATGTTTGTGATTTTTTTAATATATTGTAAGGCGTCCTTGGGTGTCTTGAAAGATGCTATGAAATGAAATGAATTATTGTTATTATTATTATTAATGCTCAAATCCAGGGTTAAATCCAGGTCTGTTGTTTATCTGTGTATACAACTGAAGGAATTCATCTCGACTCTTTTTCTTTTCTCCGTCTCCTTGCTGAGCCCCCTGACCAATCGAGTGTGACCCAAGAACGACATCCCGGCTGTTTTAGTCTGCTAACGTGAGCTCTCTTGGTCTGTGGATCCTCTGCCAATAATAACATGTAGCAAGAAGGCCTCATGCTGATGCTGAGGGTGAGGGTTCTACAAAACTGGATGGAGTCAAAATAATAAGTTCATAAATTCTGCTCTGAAAATTCTACCAAAGTAAAAATACATATATCAGCTGCATCCCAAAACAAGCCAAAGGGTAGAAAGACACAGTAGCGGTTTATAGTCTGGAAATTACGATAGATGTTTGAAGTTTTGTGCTGTTGAAACCACCACAAAATAAACAATAATTTGCTTTCACTTCATATGATATTCACTTCAAAATATATATATATTTGACAGATGCGCTGGAAAACGGCCGCAAGTCCTAAGAAGCTCTGAAACTTTTTATTTTTCTTGCTCTTTTCTGCCTGAGATGTTGCTGCAGTACAATGTGCATAGTTTTGCACTGGTCCAGACCGGAGCAGAGAGGATTCATGGTCTGAACCAAGTGGATCAGCCGAAAATCCAGTGGACTTTTTGAAAAATGCTATTGAAGCCTCCAGGCATTTTACTTTGGACTAGAGCAGAGAAAATGGTCCGAACCAAGTGGCTACTCCACCTTTTGACTTGTCCTGCTCCACCCAGAGGCTACTCCACCTCTGCTTCTGTGACCTGAAGGGCTGTTGCTGATTATTAATATTGTTATCTTTTTAGAATGATCAATTTAATTTTTATTTTTTTCTGCTACTGGACACCTGAATTTCTCCTACAGGGATCAATAAAGTATCTATCTATCTATGATGTAAGCAGAATCGTGAGCACTCGCACCTGTCTCCTGTGATGGTGATGGTAAAGCCGTCGTATTCTTTCCCAGGATCCTTCACACTCTGCACTTTGGAGTTGACCGTGAAGCCATCTCTGGTTTTACTGTTAAACTGCTTCAGAAAAGTGAAACACGTGTGGATCCTCATCAGAAAAGTCTCAAGGGCGTGTGATCAACGACAGAATGAGTTTTACCTTCATTATAGGAAGTAAATCTTCTACTCTATTCACATTTTCCAGAGCGTGACGCACTTCTTGGAGTCCTCTGGGGTTGTATGCGCTAAGACAAGGAAAGTGAGGGTTTTGACTTTGGTTTGAATTTAAAAAAGTACTTTGAAAATAATCACGAGGACTTACCCATGATACACCAGTATTCTCTCTTTTATGAAGTCAAGAATGTTATCAAAATATGCCAAGTATCTGATGTTTATTATTTGTCCTCTGAGAAAGAAAAAGCAAAGAATAGGATTAAATATTATAAAAGTTCCACCTCCTCCGTCTGAGCTTCAGTCTACAGTGTCACAGATGTTAGATTCGCTCAAGCCTCATGGTTCTGAGCGTCCAGGACACAACACACTTTAATATTCTGTCACCTCGGGCCACTTCTCAGTCCAATATTGTATTGATTCATACAAAAAAATGCACATTAGGTTCTTGACCTAAACAATTGCATTACAATTTAAACCAGGTCTAAACCGGGTTTAAGCTGGGTCCGAGCAAAATTCAGGAGTAAGAACTGGACTTTAATGTAGTCACTATCGAGGCTAATATAGACAATAAACTTTTTTCAACAAACCCAATTATGCATATTCAAAATCATGATTCAATATAATTTTTTTAGTAGCTGTGAACCACAGACTCTGACTTTGCAGATAAACTATATACCACTAATACCTGATGAGGTTGATGTGATTGTTGAAGCCTCTGCTGAGACTTCGCGCTGGCATTTGATCCAACCACAGAACCGGCTGGTCTGGATCCGCGATCCTGGAACACAGGAAACACTTGTTTTACTAAAATAATGTGACAGAAGATTGAACAATTGGCTCTGCTTTACAATTGGAATGGACAACTCCCAAAATACGTTTATGATGTCATTATATATCTAGAATTATGGAACATCATCAACAAAGCGTTGACATAGCAGCAAATTGAACCAAATAATCATTACTCATGCATTGAAGTTGAAACAAAGCACATTAAGATTCACTTTATTTACTTTATTTATCACACCAGGGGCAATTTGTTTGAGCAGCACATAAAAAAAACCTAAAATAAATAACATAAAAACACAGGAACAAAGTGACATGACATAAAGTCCATTTCACTCACTAACCAAACCGTAGGTAAGACTAATATTGAGATAATGTGTCCTGTTTGCACATTTCTTACTTTTTGCACTATCTTGAGTGTTTCTATCCATGCCAAACGTGACATGTAAATTTCTCCTGTGTGAGATTAATAAAGTACATCTTATCTTATCTTAAATTAGGGCCCTCTCCTTCCTGGTTCTATTTCATCCCTTCAGACCGCCAGAGGGCGGTGCATAGCACTGAATGTTCCCTTCGCGCATGCGCAGTTCGAGTAATAATACCAAATGAGTCACACCTGTGACCCCCTGGGTGACACACCGGAGGTAATAAAGTCCAGCGTCATCCAGCACTCTGTTCCTTTTTTCTTCTCGCGTGCGGTTCGAATCGTTGTTGCTTGAACTTCGTCAACGTCTGTCGCTGAGAGCCCTCTTCATCGGAGCTGCGGTTCGCCCTCCGTGGGGCGCGACGGTGACGTTGTCCTTCGGGTATTTATCGGTGTTTTCTGTACTATATGCGTGTGTATTGGTTGGTGTGAAGGCTGCTGTGGCGCCCGCTCCTCCGTCAGTACTTTCTTTTGGTACGTGCATTTCGTGGTGTGAGGGCTGCGGTTCGTTGGCCTGCTCCTCCGCCTGTGCATGTTTGAGTTAGCTTTGCTAACTGTGTATTGAGTGGTGTGAGGCTGCGGTTCGTTAGCCCGCTCCTCCATCAGTTCTTATTTGGGTTAGCCTTTTGCTACCTGTGTGGTGTGAGGCTGCGGTTCCGCTCCTCCATCCGTTCTTAGTTGGGTTAGTTTTTGCTACCCGTGTCCTCTGTGGTGTGAAGGCTGCTGTTCGCGCGCCCGCTCCTCCATCAGTTCTTCTTTGGGTTAGTTTTTATTACCGGTGTCCTCTGTGGTGTGAGGCTGCGGTTCCGCTCCTCCATCCGTTCTTAGTTGGGTTAGTTTTTGCTACCCGTGTCCTCTGGTGTGAAGGCTGCTGTTCGCGCGCCCGCTCCTCCATCAGTTCTTCTTTGGGTTAGTTTTTTATTACCGGTGTCCTCTGTGGTGTGAAGGCTGCGGTTCGTTGTCCCGCTCCTCCATCTGTTCTTGTTTGGGTTAGCATTTGCTGCCTGTGTTTATTCTGTGGCCGGTGTATTGTGTGGTGTGAAGGCTGCTGTTGGCGCGCCCTCTCCTCCATCGCTACTTTATTTTGAGTTGGCGTTTTACTGCCGGTGTATTGTGTGGTGTGACGGCTGCTGTTCGCGCGCCCTCTCCTCCATCACTACTTTATTCGAGTGGCATTTTGCTGCGGGTGCATTGTGTGGTGTGAAGGCTGCTGTTCGCGCGTCCGCTCCTCCACCGTGCTATATTTGGCTTTTCTGTTGTGAAACTGCAGTACGTTGATTCAGTTTTGCAGTTTGTATACCGTTGGGGATTAATTACATATTTAATTAACGACACAGTCGAAACAAGAATAATAATTTAATAATAATAATAAAAAAATAATAATAATAAAACAAATACAACCTTGTTGTTATGGACGGGTCACATGCGTGTGTGGGCTGCGGGTCAGCACTCGATGTTGATGACGGCCATGACCTGTGTCCGGCGTGCCTCGGCCCCACTCACTTGAGGGAGGCAGTGTCCGATAACCCGTGCATGAACTGCAGCTGCTTGCCCTGGGCTGTTAGGGTGGCGAGGCTGGTTCAGCTGCCTTCGTCTGGCGACGGTGGTAGTTTGCCAGTGGGACCTGCTGTGGCTCCGCCCCCTCGGCGTTCTAAGCGCCGTGCTGAGGCCTGTGCTTCAGGGGAGCGGTCTGATGGCCATGGTCCTTCCAAGCAGGCCAAGCCGGATGCTGTCCTGGTGTCGAGGGTGGAGCAGTTATCTGCAGAGTTGGAGGCGATGAAATCTGCATTCCAGGCACGTTGTGCTGCTGATGCAGTCTCTGGGGCTGGTTCTTGCTCCATGCCATCCCTCCATCCGGAGGAGGATGTGCTTTCTCTGGCGGCATCTGCTTCGTGCTTCCGGGACGAGGATGACGCGCGGTCCCTTTCGGGGGACGATGCTTATTCTTCCGCACATAGTGTGTCCAGCCGGTCTGGTGACGGCTCAATGCAGGAGGTTCTTCGCAGGGCCTTATCCCGTCTGCAGGTGGAACTTCCCCAGTCGGGACAGGCTGACCCTGGCAGTGTTTTTTTCAGGCGTGGTGGTTCGTCTCCTGCTTTTGTTGTGCCCCCGTCCGCGGAGTATCTGAAGGAGCTACACGCGTGCTGGAGGGACCCCAGCCGTCTCTCTAAGCTTTCGGCTGAGGGTCGGGCTTTGGCCGCGATGCACGATGCCTCTTCGGCTGGCCTGGATTGCATGCCGGCTGTTGAGCCGGCGGTTGCCTCCCTCATTGTTTCCCCGGAGGAGTCCTTGCGGGAGAATGTGAGGTGCCCTCGGAGCCAGTGTCGTGCGACGGATCACTTGCTAACAAAGGCCTACAATTCTGGTGCTCGAGCTGGCCGTATTGGTAACTCCTTAGCGCATCTGCTGCTTGCCCTGTCTGCCTCCCTCCAAGAGGGTAGTGCTGTGGGCACTGATGTTACTGCGTTTAGCGACGCAGCTCTGCACGCTTTTGCCTTGATGACCAGGGAACTCGGACGGGTCATGTCGGTCCTTGTACAGGCTCGTCGGCAGGTATGGCTGGCTCAGTCTCCCCTGACTGAGGCCTGTCGTAGGACCCTCCGTGACGTGCCTGTCGAGCCGGGTCAGATGTTTGGGACGGCGGCCCAGGAAGCATTGGACCGGACTGTCCATGCTGGTCAGACTAGACAGCAACTTTCTAGCCTTAGCAGGGTGGTGCGCCCTCCCCGGCAGTTTTTGCGCCCGATGGTGGCCCCCGGTGTTCGGCAGCCTCCTCGGGATTGGACTGGTGCTCAGCGTTTTCCCCAGGTCAGGCCTGCCGGGAATTTTCGTGCCCCACCCGTACATAGGCGCCCGACCCGCCAGCCAAGTGGCGCCGCGGCTGGTTCTGGGCGGGGTCCCCCCAGAGCCCCTAGGGGGCGGGGGGCACGGAATTGACGCCTCAGGGCCGAGCGTCGGACATTTTTCCCATCAGCAGCTCGAGTGTTGGGCTGCTCGAGCTCGGGATCCGTGGGTGGTTGCCACATTGACCCACGGATACCGTCTGCAATTCCGACGCCGGCCGCACTTGTCGGGCCGGGTCAAGGTTACTTTGTTCTCGGACCCGGCAAAAGCCTTTATCTTGGATCAGGAGCTCTCCGCCCTCCTGACCAAGGGTGCCATCGAGGCGGTAGATCCGCTGCTGCAACCCAGGGGTTATTACTCCCGTTATTTTCTCGTGCCCAAGAAGACGGGGGGTTTTCGACCAATTCTGGATCTGAGGGGCTTGAATCATTTCCTGAAGGTCATTCCATTTCGCATGCTGACGACTGCGGAAGTCCTTCAGACTGTTGGGGCCGGGGAATGGTTCACGTCCGTAGATTTGAGGGACGCGTATTTTCACGTGCCCATTGCGCAGCCCCACCGGCGGTTCCTCCGGTTCGCCTATCGGGGCGTTCACTGGCAGTTCAGGGTTCTTCCCTTTGGCCTCTCTCTCTCTCCGAGGGTTTTCACCCGATGCGTGAAGGCGGCTCTTGCTCCGCTACAGGCCAGTGGCATGAAGGTGTTGCCTTATCTGGACGATTGGTTGATCTGCGCCCCGTCCAGGGCACGATCCTTGGAAGATACGGAGCGCCTTCTGACTCATGTCGCCCGCTTGGGGTTCAGGGTCAATTTCGAAAAGAGCAGCCTGGTACCTTCGCAGGCCGCTGTTTTTCTTGGCACTCTGCACAGTTACGTCAGCTTTCTACAGCTGGTGGGGAAGCTGGCCTCGATCTCTCGTGTGGTTCCTCTCGGGCTGCTTTCGCTTCGCCCGTTGCAGAGGTGGCTGAACGGGTTTCGTTTGGATGCCGTTCGTCACCGCCACAGACGGTTACAGGTGACGTGGGCATGTTTTCGTGCTTTGGCTCCATGGAGGGACCGCGGTCTCCTGTCACGTGGGGTCCCCTTGGGGGTGGTAGTGTGCCGCAGGGAAGTGGTCACCACCGACGCCAGCCGTACGGGATGGGGTGCTGTGTGGCAGCGCAGGTTGGCCCGAGGGGTTTGGTCTCGGGCGGAGCGCTCAGACCACATAAATGTACTGGAGCTTCGGGCCGTCCACCTTGCTCTCCAGGAGTTTTTGCCTCACCTGCTGGGGAAACATGTCCTCATTCGTTCGGACAACACCTCGGTCGTGTATCACATCAACCATCAAGGGGGTGTCCGATCGGCTCGGCTCCTCGAGGTGTCTCAGGCTCTGCTGGTTTGGGCTGCGCCTCGCCTGGCTACACTGCGTGCAGCGTATCTGCCAGGGGACTGCAATCGCGTGGCGGACTCCCTGTCTCGCGGGAGGCCTGCCCCGGGGGAATGGTGTCTCCACCCCGGTGTGGTCCAGAGGGTGTGGGGCCTCTTTGGTCGGGCACAGGTGGACCTGTTCGCTTCGGTGGCCTCCACTCATTGCCCTCAGTTTTTTTCCCTGGACGGGGCTCCGGGCTCTCTCGGCCAGGATGCCCTGGCGCACAGTTGGCCTCAGGCCCTCCTGTACGCCTTCCCCCCTTTTCCTCTGATCTGGCCAACCCTCCAGAGGGTCCTTCGGGCGGGGCACAGTTTATTACTGGTGGCTCCGTTTTGGCCTGCACGGCCCTGGTTTCCACTGCTACTCAGACTTTGTTGGGCTCCCCCCTGGCCTCTCCCTCCCAGGCGGGATCTGCTCTCACAGCTGGACGGTCAGGTGTGGCATCCCTGTCCTCACCGCCTCAAGTTGTGGGTATGGCCGTTGGCTGGCCCGAGCTGCGGGCACTCGATGTCACTGGCCCTGTCAGGCGTACACTCCTGAATGCCAGGGCGGCCTCTACTCGGCGGCTGTATGAGAACAGGTGGAAGTTGTTCTCCCGCTGGTGTTCTTCCCGCGGTCGGGATCCCGTGTCGTGCCCGGTGGCGGTTGTCCTGGAATTCCTTCAGTCTCTCCTGGATGAAGGTCGGGCCCCATCTACTCTGAAGGTATATGTTGCTGCTATTTCATGTTATCATGGCCTGGTTGATAACTGTACTGTGGGGGGCCATAACCTGGTGTCTCTCTTTTTACGCGGAGCTCGTAGGCTGCACCCTCGCGTGCCCGCGCGGTCTCCGGTTTGGGACCTGGCCTTGGTGTTGGAGTCTCTCTGCCGCCCTCCGTATGAGCCATTGGCCCGAACGGACCTCAAGTGGCTCTCCTATAAGACTGCTTTCCTGTTGGCTGTGGTCTCTGCAAAAAGGGTCGGTGAGTTGCATGCACTTTCTGTCAGTCCCTCATGCCTACACTGGGATCCTGAGAGGGCTGGCGTGGTCTTGTGGCCTAATCCCACTTTCCTCCCTAAGGTGCTTTCCCGTGACTATTGTAACCGGCCTTTGAGGTTGGCGCGGTTTGTGTCCCCCCTGGATGGGGGTGAGGACAGACTGCACCTGCTGTGTCCTGTGAGGGCATTGGAGGCCTACGTTGCTGCGACGGCAGGTGTGAGGCGCTCAGACCAGCTCTTTGTTGCTTATGGTGGTGCTAGACTGGGAAGTCCGCTTTCGAAGCAACGCCTTTCCAACTGGGTGGTTGACGTTATCAGTCAGGCGTATATTTCGGCCGGCCGCGACCCGCCAGCCACGGTGAGGACCCATTCTACCAGGGGTGTCTCTACCTCCTGGGCCGCTATGCGCGGGGTGCCGTTGGGAACTATTTGTGCTGCTGCGTCTTGGGCTACACCAAGCACGTTCACCAGATTCTATAACATCAATGTGGCCACTCCGGCTCCTCTTGGCGTGGTCCTTCAGGAATCCTCTGGCTCTCCTCCGTGAGGTGTGTGGTCAAGTTCCTTCGTGACATAGCTGGTATAAGGTCATTCAGTGCTATGCACCGCCCTCTGGCGGTCTGAAGGGATGAAATAGAACGAGGGTTACGTATGTAACCACGGTTCTATGAATCCCGGATGACCGCCAGAGGCGCTCTGTCACTCAGGGTCCTTGCATCCGCGAGAAGATTCTGCAGGAACAGAGTGCTGGATGACGCTGGACTTTATTACCTCCGGTGTGTCACCCAGGGGGTCACAGGTGTGACTCATTTGGTATTATTACTCGAACTGCGCATGCGCGAAGGGAACATTCAGTGCTATGCACCGCCCTCTGGCGGTCATCCGGGATTCATAGAACCGTGGTTACATACGTAACCCTCGTTTCCATGGCACATGTGCATTTCATTATGTTAACATGTTTGACCAAACACTGTTTAGATTTTGACTAAAGGTTTGTTTTTGTCTAATGTTATTCATTCACAAGTTTACCCCCAGATGGAGACATTGGACAAAGAAACAAAATGTCATGTTGAACTGAAAGATAGTGGTTAACCTCCCACCCTTTCTAAACGTGTAAAAATGAGGGAAGTATTCACCATTATCAAAAGATCATTCAAGTGGCTTTTCTTCCTCTTACATCTGCCTGAAGTCCAGCACTAACACATGATTCCTTACCTCCTCCACTTCACCGCGATGTCAAACATATCTCTCCACTGCATTTGTCGAGTTTTTCCGTTGACTCGTACTTTTGAGTTGCTCCATGTTCTGTGCATGGCCTGCATCACCTCTAGTGTTGCCAGACCCATGGCTAAACGGCAAAAGAGTTACGTAAATATGTGTTTTTATTTTTGACAATAAATTCGGGTTAAACAATATCTACCTCTGTGTATTCTCTTGTTTGGTAGAAACCCTGGCGTGTCGTACTGCATGAGGGCGCCCAGATGGTCAGCGGTGCAAATTAACTTTTGTACTTCGCTGCTGTAGCTGTCAAAGTTTTGCGGCAACACATCCCTGTAAAAAAGGAGAATATACGGTATGTTAAAGGACAGCATGAGAATAGACCAATAGCATGATTAAACTTAGCTCTCCCTGATGTTACACTGGATCAGAGCCGTCAAACTGATCCTTAAAGGACCAGTGTGCCTGCAGGATTTCATAACAACCAAGCAGGGGCACATCAAACTTCACTCATTTCCTCAAGTAGGTCCAGTCTTAATCTGGGTGGAGTCTGCTGTGCTCCTGCTTGGTTGGAATAAAAACCTGCACTGCTACACTGGTCCTTTCTGGAACCAGTTTGACGCTTCCTGCACTTGAAACAAAATGCTGATTCGAACACAGACTACATGAATGTGCAAAATACACCGCACCACAAGGTCCAGTCTCTGCGCCACAGTCTCTGCGCCACAGTCTCCGCGCCACAGTGAGAGGGGGGAATGTGAGATTTCATAACACTTTTAAGCAACTTTTGTTAAAGTTAAACTCATCATTCTATCAATGTGCAGAAGCCAGTACTTTTCCCTTGTTTTGTCTATCTGAAGGCCAAGCTACATGGCACCGTGGCAGCTGCTGATTGGAGGTCTCCATGCCTCCGCTCTGTATAATACACTTGCATTCTGTGTTCGTGTTGTTCGTGCTGTCTCTACCATCGACAATAAAACATGTCTTCTGTCGGAATGAAAGACGCGATCCCAGACTATGTCATCTTCAGGTGGTGGAAGGATGTGGGCCTTGTCTGTAACATCTACAGAACAGAAGACCTTTTTTTTACACAAAAAATTGTTTTTGTTTTTAAGCCAAAACTGAGAAACCTCAAGAGAAACCATGCACCTGGACCAGCACACATGGACAATCTGCACAGCCCCTGATTCCAATCAGGCCTGCTGTGAGATGCTGAGACATGGACAATACCATCGTCCTCTTTTGCATGGACATAATTTGGAACAATTGGATTAAACAATTTGGACATCATTTGGAACAATTGGATTTCTGAATTTGGACATCATTTGGACTGAATCGAATTGCTGAATCTGGACACTGAAGCTGAAATGTGTGATTGAAAGGCACGTCACAGAAGAATTCATGGCTTGACACAACAAATGCAGCCTGAAGGAACCAATACGGAGAAGTGGGAGAGACTGTTTTCAAAGCAATATCTGGAACCATCGACTGATGAAGTTTGGTATTTTACTGAAGATTGTTGACAAGTTTTATGAAAGATCTGAAAATGTTTTATGAGTTTAAGTATTGAGTTATGATGTTATGTTGCTGTTTATCGATCCTGATGGTCACACGTGAATGTGTGACCAGAGGGGGGAATGTGAAATTTCATAACACTTTGAAGCAACTTTTGTTAAAGTTAAACTCATCATTCTATCAATGTGCAGAAGCCTGTACTTTTCCCTTGTTTTGTCTATCTGAAGGCCAAGCTACATGGCACCGTGGCAGCTGCTGATTGGAGGACTCCATGCCTCCGTTCTGTATAATACACTTGCATTCTGTTGTATCTGTGTTTGTGTGCTTTGTTCGTGCTGTCTCTACCATCGACAATAAAACATGTCTTCTGTTCTGTAGATGTTACAGACAAGGCCCGCATCCTTCCACCACCTGAAGAAGATGACATAGTCTGGGATCGCGTCTTTCATTCCGACAGAAGACATGTTTTATTGTCGATGGTAGAGACAGCACGAACAACACGAACACAGAATGCAAGTGTATTATACAGAGCGGAGGCATGGAGACCTCCAATCAGCAGCTGCCACAGTGCCATGTAGCTTGGCCTTCAGATAGACCAGGGGTCGGCAACCCGCGGCTCCGGAGCCGCATGCGGCTCTTGAGTGCTCCTGGAGTGGCTCCTGGAGCCTTTTCAAAAATGTCTGAAAATGGAGTGTGAGGGCTATATTTTATTTCTAGTTTGAATGTGGTTTCTGTAGAAGGAAAAACAATCTTTACGTTTTTAAATGCTGTAAAAATATGTATAAGTAATATCTAATTTCAACATTTCTGTCAACGTAGTGCGTCATATCCTATGACGCACGGTCACGCGGCCCCGCCCCATGTGGCCGCTGCTGTAAACAAACCGGCGTGTGTGCATCATAGACTGTAAGTGCACATGGATCCCAAAGCTAAAACGAGAAAGATTCGATAACAAGACTGGAATAAGAATGAGAATGAACATTTTCTTTCAGTCAATGAGGAAGGACTGCTTCATGTTTGTAATGAAAAGTTTTGTTGCAACACGAGGAACGATGACGCGCAAAACACCGTACACGGTGATCACGTGAAGGATTCATTCATCAAAAATTCAGAGCACCTATTTTCAGACGTCTAAACCTTCTCAAAGACGGTGAAAGAAAAGGCCATTAAGAATTTTAATTCAGTTCCAGCAAACTTCAGCCTGTGACGTGATGGATATGAGCAGACAGTGATGTGACCTCTGAGCCCAAAGCAGATTGATTTATTGTATTTCTACAATTGCATGAAGGCAAAAAAATGGAAGGTAAACTAAAGCAGAGTTGTCCCGTGTTGCGTCATTCACGACACGCTGCAGTGAAAATAATGAATGATTATTATGTATTGGTAGCCTTTACTTTGTCATTTAGATATTAGGCTAATATAGCTAATACATCTTGCAGCCTGTGTTAACTTCATAAAAGCCTTATACAAGGCTGTTATTTTTTTGCGGCTCCAGACAGATGTTGTTTTTAGTTTTTTTGTCAATTACAGTAGGTCCCATTCCGTTTTGTCGCCTTTCACGCGTGAATCACACGAGAATCACGTGTGATTCACGCGTCTTATTTTCCCCCCTCCCAGTGACGTTGCAATGACCAAAACAACCACCAGGTGGCACTTGTGAGCAGGGTTACATTGGCGAGTTTCTGCCCCGCGCACATCGACAATCTGGTTTAAACGGGCAACTCCTTGTAGCAGGCCAGTCTCTGGAATAACCCGCAGACATTAAAACTACTGCATATAACGTAAACTTTTGCATCACGTTGGTGATCTTTCCAAAAAGAGAGAATATCGTTATGGAAAGAGAAACTATTGGTAAATATAACGCTGAACGTTATTTGACTCAAACAGCTACCTTATTTTCCTTCTATCACAATCCAATTTCCTATACAAATCCCTTAATCACCCACCCTCACCCCCACTCTCTACCCATAAAAAAACTAATAAAAAACCTCCATACCCCTCCATACCCCACCCCCATATACCAAACACCCCTCACCAAAAACAAAAAAACCCCCAAACCCCCACACACACCCCCCCACCCCCTCCCCAAAACCACACCAAAAAAACCACCCCATAACTCAACCACCCTAACAACACAACAACACACACTACAACTAACCCCTCCTACCAATTTACTAATTTATCCATCACCCTTCCCCACCCCCTACTCATAAACTAAAATAACATACCCCCTTACCAAAACCATCACTCACCCCCATCCTCTATCCCTCACATATCCCTCACTACCTCCCAAACCCCCACACAAAACAACAACACATACACATCCCCCACTCACCCCACATTATTTCCATAAAACAACTTTCACCACAAACCACACAAATAACCCTTTCAATACACCTTAAACTCAACCTATATAATCCCATCAACTTAACTACTCCCCTCACACTCACATAAATCTATCCTAAAACCCAACATACATAATCATTTCTATATACCACCTAATTCCATAAACATACCCAAAAACCCAAATCAATAAAAATTAATAATATCCTCCCTCCCCCCATATCCCCCACTTTTATTTAATACAATCCAAACCCAACCCAATCAAACAACCTCAATCCCTCATAACCTCAAACCCTCAATAAAATCACACCACTACCCCTATCACCCATCCTAAACCAAATCACCACCTCACCCATATTCCCCATCAATTCCAAAAAATACATAAATCACATCACAAATACTCAATACCCTCCTATACACACACTTACTCCCATCCTCCATTATTCCATTCTTCCATTCTATCATACCCTCTAACTCTTCCTCTCATCACCTAACATACCCCCCCAATACATACACCCCCCAACCCCCCCCCTCACCCACAAAATACATCACACCTAAAACCCACCCCCCCCCCTAACCCAAATAAAAACACCCCCAACTCATCCCCAACCTACTAATCAAACCCCAAATACCATCACACCCCCCCAAATTATATCATCACTTACCTTAAATCCATACCAAATCCTTAACAAACCTAATCACCCACCCCACACCAAACATTACAAAACACAACCCACTACCCCCACCCACCAACCCACCAACCCCCAAACCCCCAACACCCCCCATCCAAACCCTAACATTACCACACTACTACACCAACACAACATCCCAACCAACACCCCCTCTAACCCTAATCAAAACCCCCCCTACCACTCACATCTATATAAAAACTCTCTCCTTACAAATTCCCCACAAAAACCCCCAAAAAAACCATTCCCCACCCCTCCCTAACACAACCTCCACCATAACTCTTTCACCAACCCTATCCATCCTACAAACATCCCCCCACACACTCACCTAAACATACCTCCTCCCACATCCCCACCCCCCACCACACATATAAAACCCATCTACCAATACCTACATCCCCACATCATCCCCCTTCCACATCCACCCACAATCAACAAAACCAACCTAAAATCCCCCATCTACCACTAAACAAAACCCTTTACCTCCAACATTACAAATCATAATACTCCCTACAAAAAATAAAAATACCAAATATCCCCCAACCCCACATTATCATAACAACAAACCCAACTACCTTCCCTAAACACTCACAAATCCCACTACCACTACCCAAAAAATAAAACAAACCACAATCATATCCCTATCTCATATACCCTCAAAAATCTCTTTTCAATACTTCCAACCTCATACCCCACCCACTAATATTTCCTCATTCTTCAATCACATTCCCACACCCCCTTAACCCCCCATACAAACCCTAACCCCATCTCTCTTCCACATCAACCCTTCAAATATAAAACATAACAAACCACTTCTTAAACTTCCCTCTCTTCCCTTCAAATCATCTTCAATCTATATATCAACACAACATATCCTTCCTATCTACTTTCCCCATAACTCACAACATACTACATTACCCACCCTCATACCCCCCCTACCACCTCAATATCCCATCAAACCCCTAACCATTTAACTTCTCATACCAATTTCTACTATACAATTCACTCCTCAAACCCCCCATAAATTTAAACCCCATTTACAAACTATCCAAACCATTCACTCCAAAAAAAACCCCCAAAAACCCTAACCATACCATATATCCCCCCAATCCCCTAAACACACAATCCAAAATTCCTATAACAATCCTTCCCATTCCCAAACCAACATCCACATCCAATCCACAACAAATGACCCTCACCCACCCCCATCCCTACACACTTCAACAATAATACCCAACCCCCCCTCACCACACAACCCCCACACCCCCACCCCCCACTACAACACAAAAAACCAAAAACCATATCTAAACATCCCCCCCCACAACACCCAACCCACCCACAACCAAACCCCACATTACCCACAACCCACACCAACAAAACTACCCCCCCCCCACCCCCAATTCTTACACTTCTCAATAACCCACACCTCTACCTCACACCCCCACCCAATCCCCCACAACCCACCCCCCCACCCATAACACCCAATCAACCCACCTCCACCCCCATCACCACCCCATCATCCCCTTAAAAACCCCTACAAATACTCCCTCCCCATATAAAAAAACATCCCCCCCCCCCCCCTACAAACCACCACCAACCAACCACTCCACCCCCAAACTCAAAAACCAAACCCCACACCCCCAAAACACCAACACAACCACCACCCACCCCAAACCAAAAACCCCCCCCAAAAAACCACACACAACCAACCTTCACCCCCTCATATACCCTAAACCTATCTCCTCTCCCCTTACCCCATACATCCAAAACAAACAAACAATTACCCCATTCCAACCCACACCCCCCCAATCTTCCCCCCCCCCATACATCAATTAAACACAAAAAACATCCAACCCACACACCAACCACACTACCCCAACAACATATACCAAAACAATACCCCATATCCATTTCTCCCCCCAAACCCACACCCCCCACAACACTCACACCAAACCTCCCCCAAACACCATACACCTCATCAATAAAAAAACCACCTAACTCCTCAAAACAAACACACCCCCACAAAACTACCCCTACCACAAAAACCTCATCCATAAATCACACAAAAAACAAAAATCTATATCAATAACCCATCTCCCATCCACTCAATCACCCAACAAACCCCAAACACCTACACATCAACAAATCAAACCCCCCAAACAAACCAACCCCAATATACCACCCATACATCCACCACTCTTTTCCCCCACAAAACCCCTAACCCACCCCCAACCCCCTTCCTACAACCCTTACTCCTCTCCCCCTTCAAAACCCTACCCATATCCCTCCCATCCATCCATTCCCATCATCAAACCATAAATATACCCATATCATCATCAATATCTTATATATATCTCCCATCATTCTATATATAAATATATTAACTATCAATCTCTATAAAACTAATCTCCCTCTCAATCAATCCCAACACTACATTATTCCACTTTAACCCCCACCCCAAACCCCAAACAATATCCAAAATCACCCACAACAACCCACCCCCAAACCCAAAATCAATATCAACCCCACCAAACCCCCCCCCAAATCCCCCCCCACCACCACCAACCCACACTCAATAACACCCAAAACCACCTTAATACCAAACACAAACCCCACCCACCCCAACCCCCCCCCCCAATAAAATCAAAACACATCTCCCCAAACCCCCTAAATATACCCACCCCCCCCCCCCCCTCATCCCCCCCCAAAACCCAATATCAAAAAACCATTAAACACTTATCTAACATACCCCTCCTTATACACTCAATAACCCCCATCACTCCCCACCACCTACCCTACTACATTCCCCCCAAAACCTTCTCCTATCATATCTTCTCCTTCCAAAATTACCCATATCCCCCCCATTCCCCCCTAAAAACATCCCTTCCACAATCCCACCCCCCATTTACCACAATAATCACCTAACCTCACCCACTACCCCCATCATAATTTCCTACTCATTATTCAACTCCTTTCAATACTTAATAACAAAATAATACACCTTACCACTAATATCCTTCACTCCATCCTAATATTCCCCTCTTCTCAAACTTTAACACCTACTAACCATAAAAACTACAATCTCAATTCAAATACTTTCCCCTACATACACCCCCCCCACAACAATACCCATACCACTACCTCATTTCCCACCCCCACCCTATCATAAAACCCCCTACCACCACCTACCCCCTACCATCCACAATAAAACACCATCACCCCAACAAACCCATAAAAAAAAAACCACTAACTCCCCAACCTTAACTTTCTATCCCCCACTACTTTTCACCCCCACACCCCCCCATCCCCATATACTAATTACCCTATTCTCATCCTTTAAAAACATCCTCTCTCCATCACCACCCACAAAAAACCACAAACATCTCCTCATCTACACCTCTTTCCCCCCCCCTAATCAATACATTTACCACTTCCCTCCCCCCCAACAACCAAAACCACCCCCCCCCAACACCCCTTACCACATCACACAACCACCCTCCACCTCATCCAACCTCAATCCATACAACCATCATAATCAACACTACACACTCACATTCACATTATCATCAACCAATAACAACCCTAAACACAACTAACTCATACACAACTCACCTTCAACAAATTCTCTACTATCCCTCTCTATACTATATTTCTCTCTACATTTTCATTCATCCATATCCATCCCCTCCTCATCATATTCCCATTAACACTCCTCCCAAAACCCATTCCCATTACCCCACATCATTTCCCAACCCTAACCATCACAACCACATTACATAATCTATATCACAACCCAACACCATCATCATTATTTATACTTCCCCCATTCCATCAATTTTTAACCCTTCTCATCCCTACCATTCATCAATACTATCCTACCTCACTAAACACCCCTTCCTCTTAAATTCTAACATCTTTTCATACAAAACCTCCTTATCTATCCACCCCACCCATTCCTCAATAACCCCCACTCAATTCTATACAAAAAAATAACTCTCCCATCTCTTCTCACCCCCCCTAACCCACAAACAAAAAAACCCCCCAACCCACCCCCCCCACCCCCCCTACCACTCATCAACAACATCTCCATCTACCCTACCCTACCACCCCACATCTCCCTCCTTACCCCTTATAATTCATCAATAAAATCCATCACCCCCCATACTAAAACCCCACATAACACCAATATCCCTACTTTTCTATTCAATACTTCTTCCTACCCTACCCCTTCCCCATAAACCTTCATTTACATACCCCAAAATCCCCCACCAACCCCAAAAATCACACCCCCAACTTTCCCCCTTCCTTCCCCTATAAAAATAACATACACAAAACCCCACAATGCCAAAAATAAACATAAATTCATCTACATATACCCTCCCCCACAAAATTCCCACCAAAACCTTTCCAAAATCAAAACACCCCACTCCACATAACCCATAAACCAACTCACCAAACCCCCAAACCAACATATCCCACCCCCCCAACACCCCACCACCCAAAAACACTACCCCCCCCCCAACCACCCCCACAAATAAACACTAACTTATCCCACAAACACATACCCTTAAGATACCCCCCCCACCCACCTACATTCCAACACATCTCCATCCCAAACCCACAAAACTTTCATCCCCACTTACCCATACCTCACATTACTCTACCCAATCCCACTAAATAACATAAATTACCTCCACCACACAAAACTTTAAGACCAAAAAAAACACTAACTATTATCACCTTAACAAAATCACTATCATAACTAACCCCTAAACTTACTTACCATACTATATCCTTTAATTAAAACATACACAACTAATATCTCCCTAACAACTACCCCACCCCATTCGCTTTCAATCCCTCTCTCTTTCCCCCTTTATTCAATCCCTCCCCTCTATCAAAACACACCTAAATATATCCAATTCAACACCATACACACCACTGCAAAAACAACTACTCCCAACCAACCCTCATATCCTAATATCCCTCCATTCCATATATCCCCAATTACACCCTCTAACAAATACCCTTCCAAACCTATAAACCTCCCCCTAATCCTTTCACCTACCCACACCTCTCCTCACTCATCTAACTCCATCCCAATTCTACTCTTCCCACCCACTCACATCTCTTCCCCCTACCAACACTTCTCATTCTCATCCCTAATTCTATCCTCATCCCACATCCTACCCATACCCCTCTCCTTACATCCCTCCTCTTCTTCTTCCTCCCCTTATACACAACACTACCCATCACAATCCCCCCCAACCCCCCCTCTATCATCTTATTTATCAATTCTTAATTTCTCCACCTTCCTTATATACACACATTTTACCCACAACACCCTATAACAACATAATCCAAATATAATAAAACCAACAAAATAACCCACTCCTCAATTCATTCATTTCCACTCCACACACCAAAAAAACAACCAAAACTTACTTTTTTTTAACCTCTTTTCCTCTACCTTCTCATAAAACAACCCCTTCCCCAAAAAAAAATCCCCATCCTCCTATTAATCCTCTTATCCCCTCAATATCAAAAAACCCCCTAATCCCCCCCACAACACAAACAAATCTAACACCCTTCCATCCAACAAAACCTAACCAACAAAACCTCCCAACCACAAAAATACCTGTTTCTTATCCCCAAAAAACATAACCCCTACCCATTACCCTTTATATTCTCTTTTCTCCTTCCAATCCACCATATCTTCCACACCAACCTACCTTCTTCTCTCATTTTAAATACCATCTCTACCCCACCTCCACCTCTTAAACAATAAAAAACTCTCCCCCCACCCATCAAATACGTCTACCACAAATATTTTCAAACCCCCCAAACAAAAATTAACCCCCTCCCCCTCAATTATTTATCTAATAATATAAACAAAAATATACCCATACACCCCCCCAATACCCAACATCAACCATCATCCTACCCACAAAAAACACCCCACAACTCAATTCCATCATCCCCAAAATTTCTACCCCCTCTTAATCCTTCATAACCTAACAACCACATTTCCATTTTTCCTTCCCCCACTATCTTCCCTTCTTCATCACTCCCCTTATCTTACTCACCACTATTACCCCTAAATCACTAATCAAACTCCCCCCCCACACAAATCCCCCCCCAACCTACAACAACAAACCCCACTCCCCCCCAATCCTCCTCCCCCATTCCCCCCTATCCATCAACCCCCCATACCCACCCCCAACAAAACCACCCTATACTAAACACCCTCCCAACCTCCCCTAACCCCCCTAACAACAAACAAATCCAACATCCTATCACAATTACCAAACCCCATTCCCCCCACCCCACACCTCACCACCCCTCCCCCCAATCCCCCCATCCCCCATCCCCCCCCACCCACCCCACAAAAACACCTCAAATCCAATACACCCTCATAAATTACCTATAAATTTTATCTCTATTTAACTTCATACCCCAACCCCTCCATTCATTTAAATTCACATTCTTCATTATACTCACACCAATTACACCTCCCACATTCTCTCAATCCATAACCCACCCTCATTCATATACTGAACATATTAACAACATACCATCCCCAAAACTCCCTCTAAACACAACCTCATCACTAAACCTTAACCATAATCCAACACCTTAAAACACTATAAAAACCTCACTACCCACTCCCCCTCCCTCCCCCATCTTAAACATTTATCATAAATACTACTTCTCTACCCAACCCATAACCCCTCTCTAACCCCCCCCATCTCATACACACCATCACATCTTACCTATTCCAACTCCTAATCCCATAATTACCCACAACACTATACACACAAATAAATACCCTCCTCCCACCATCCTATCCATAATAAAATCCCCCCCCCAACCCAAACATCATATACTCTCCCCTTATATCTTCTCCAAACCCCTATCACCCCCCATCATACAAATCATATTAACCAATTCCCCCCACCCAAACCCCCCCCAACCCATCACACTACCCCCCACCCCCCTACACAATCCCCCCAATCAAATAATAAAACCTAAACACTATCAATATTCAATAACTATCTTACTCTCAAAAAAATTTATAAATCCCAACACCAACCACAATCTCCCTCCCCATATCTATCAACACACCCAATACCAACATCACCCACCCAATCAACCCTATCAAAAATTCTAAACATAAATCCACCCATACACTCATTATTATAATCTTATCACAAACAATCCACAAATAAACACATATCCCCATCCATAACAATAAATACCCCTCAATAAAATAAAATTCCCACCACATAATCCTCCCCCTAAATAAATCATACACATCACTTACTCTTATAATCATATCTCTATTACACTTCATTCCTCTTATATTTTTCACATACATCATTATATCCTTAATCCATTACCCCTATCCTATCCATCCAATATCCCCCCATATACCATTCCAACTCAACAATCACCATCTCACTCCCAAACCTCCCCTACACTAAAAACCCCAATATTCATCCATTCCACCTACCTATCCCCCACTACCAAATATATCTACCCACCCCTCCTACAAATATATCTCATCCCCCACCCATAAAAACCCACCCCCCACTTCACACCACCCTACATTACATAAAAAACTTCCTCCCCCACCCCAATATTAACATACAAAATACCTACCCTCCCTTCCTCCTCCCTTCCCCTAATAATCCTATATATTCTTATTACCCCATTCTTATAAATTTAACATATCCAAATCACACCCAACAAATAACCCTTTCCCATATCCTTTAACCTATTTAACCCCTCCTTAATACTTCAAACCATACCCCACTCAAACCCTATACCCCATAATCCCCCAAAACACACAACCCCCACCAATCCCAAACATTTATCCCCCTACATCCCCCCCACTTAAATTAACCTACCCACCCTAACCCCTCTTCCCTTAACTCTAACAAAACCCCCCCCCCAACAATACAAACACCACCCATACATAATCCTTTAATAATATATCCCTCCCATCCACCTTTTTCTCCTTCTATCAGTCATACATTCACAACCCCCCAAAACACAAACCCACACCATCCCCCCTCCCCTATCCCCACCTCCTACCACACATCTTCACAACCCCCCTACCACACAACCCCCAAATCAAAACCCTCTTCTTACCCCAATCTACACCATCAACTAAACCAAAATCCCAACACTAAATCCTTACACCAAAAATTTAAATACACCAATATCAATATATACATCCTATTTATCCCTATATCCTAAACATCTTTTTTTTACAACCTCTCCTCAAAACAACTCCCACAAATCATCTACTTACAAATACAACCACACTACATTTCTACCATATATCTATATACCACTAACAACATATTTCATCAAAATCAAACTCCTAAAATCCCATCTAACCCTTCTATAACCCATAACCCACCACTTACTAATCTCCTCAAAAAACACATACAAACAATATCCCCCCTATAACCCATATCCCCTAAAATCCTACTCAACCAACACCCCTATTATACCCTATCCTCCCCCCATCACACCACATTTCAAACCCATCTCCCCCCTTTTCCAAACCCTCACATAACATTCCTACTCCCATCCCCCTCTCATAATATATTTCATCCACCTATCTCCCCAAAAAAAACCCACCCTCCTTCACCTACCATACCCTCCCTCCTCTAATCCTCCTTACTTCACCTTTCATCCTAAATCCCACCACTCCACCCCAACAATCCCCCTCCCCCTCATATTTATTCATTCCCCACCTAACCCATCATCAAAAACCAAAAACAACACTACCCAAACATCAACCTCTTATTCCAACCCCACAAAACCCATTTCCATCCAACATCCATCACAACAAACAAAATTAAACCCCCCACATACCATACACTCAATACCATCCTCACCCCCTCCCCAATTTAACACAATTACCACCCCTATCACTATATTCCATATAACACCTATACCCCCCACAACCCAATATCCCAACACACATCCACCATCCAATACACTAAACACACCCCCTAACTCTTACCCCATCTAAATATATTCCCCCTAATTCCAACCCCCCTCCTCCCCCCCCCATACCTCTAAAACCCCAATCATTCCCTCCTCCCCCCCCTTTCCAAAATCCAACCATACACACTCCTATACAAACTCCCCAATCATCATATTCCCCCTTCCTTCCTCTACATCTCAATTAATTCATCCAACTATCCACCTCCTTCAAATCCCAAAACCAACACCCTCACATATCACCTAAATCTATAAAAATCTTTTACTCACTCCTCTTACACCCTCTCTCCCCATAAATCAACCTAACACCATAAACTTTCCCTAACCAAAACTTCACCTCACAAATTCAAATCACTTTAAACTAACTTCTCCAAAAATCTACAATCAAACCAATATCCTCAACCCACACACAAACCCAAAATTCACAATCCACACCAAACAAAAACCCCCACCCTCCCCTACCCCTACACAAAAACTCCAACATAACCCATATCATCTACCCCACCCAACACCTTCCATTCCATTCCACCAACATCAACCACCACCAACCATAATCTCTTCTACAAACTACATACACCACACCTATCATA